ATATTTGTCTTTTGTAAGTCTGTGGGTCTCTACTCACTGTCTATCAATCTCCACGTGGGTCAATATCTCAAACCGCAGACCACATTGCACCGTCACCGCCCGCTTCGATCGATCATTCGACGGCAGAATTCCAGACGTTCACCACGAGCCTACTCCTGAAGCCATCCACTGGCTCACTCGCGAACCTCCACACGAACAAACCAACACCGCTGATCAACTCCCCACCATCGAAGGAGGAGTAGACCTAAATTTCGATTTAAAGCTTTCGTGAGTGCAGGGATTAATCTTCTTGGTTCTTTCGGTAAAGTCACGTAGAATGGAAATAATAAAATAATAAAAATAAAACATAATAAAATACAATTCTCACGACGTTTCGGCCACAACGCAAGCAGCCGTCCTCAGGTGAAGAACAGAGGACGGCTGCTTGCGTTGTGGCCGAAACGTCGTGAGAATTATTTTATTATGTTTTATTTTTATTATTTTATTATTTCCATTCTACGTGACTTTACCGAAAGAACCAAGAAGAGGAGTAGACCCTCAAGCCAGAGAGGGGCAGGTGGACACCGGTAGAGTGGTGGATGCAGACGCCCGATCAGACGATGCAGATGCACACAGGCAAATAACAATCACAACAAAAATAACAATGGCCATTTGTGACGCACGTGTCTGATTCATTCTCTCCTAAGGGCCATAACTGTTTTAAAAGCCAGCCCCGAGTATTATCCTTTTTGCCCTGTAGTGAAATTTCCAGATGTGATATTCTCAACAGATTCTGTTTGTCCTCCTTCCCGGCCTCGTGCTCCTGTTCCTCTTCCTGCCTGCTCCACCTCCCACATTTCTGCGCCATGGAAATCAAATAATTTACGTACCCAGGAATGTTTTCCCAAGTGCTCCGTGGGCGTCAATACGTTTCATTATTTTGGAAGCAGTTTTTTTTTGTTTAATGGGTCTGAACTTCAATGTGAACTCTAGTGTACTATGTCACCTGTCCAGAAGTCCAATAAATGTAATTTAGAAAAATTATGTGCTGTCAAACCCTACTTGTTTCAGATTCACGTGTTGCAGCTGCATGATTAAATTCTACGAAACTCCACTGCGATGGGAATTTCACACACTTGTGCAATCATGGCAGCTGACAGCCTAGGAGATGTAATACCCTGATAGCGGTGGCATTAACTTCACGTGTATTGTCATGTATGTCAGTGAGGGAAGAATAATCAGAAGCAAACGTACGGATAACAATAAATTAAGGTCAAAAAGTGGGTTCCTCCCCGAGTTAGCTTTGAGACGGACAGTGCTCCGTCTTCCGTTCACAGCCTTGAGCCAATGGTGGAAATTCCACATTCTTGTGGCAGCATCAAGTCTCTCCACGGGACAAACACTGTCCCTACTCATTTGTATCAACTACGGAGAGATGATGCGCAGATCCAACACTCGACCGAGATTTGAACTTTCAACCTTCCAATTGCCATCCCTTTTTTATATTAAATTGACATATCGGATGTACACACTTCGACGTAGAAAGACGTACAGATATACATTTTACGCGCCCGCCCGTCCCCCTCCCCCCGGCAATTCCACTCTGTTAGGCCGCATTGTTGTTATTCTGTCCGCGAGCGTGTTCGCTTGGAAGTGCGTCGCGTTGCGTTGCCTTCACAACACAGGAGAACGTCCCACACCCCATCCCCCCACCACCAACCCCCCTCGCTTGGTAACGAGCCACACGGAGGGCCGCGATAATTGTACCGCGGACCGGAGCGCCGCCGGAGCAGCCAGTCGCTTGTGGAACATTTCCCCTGGCTTCGGTGCCACGGAACGCACTTTCGGCATCGATCGGTGTCAGGGGGAGGCCGTGGCTCTGACGTGCGTCAGGCAATTTAGTCGCACGGCGCTGTGGGGTAGGGCTGAACAATTCATCGGTTTAAAATCGAAATCGCTATTTGAAACAATGCGATTAACGAATCGCAAAGACTGCGATTTTTTTTTGCGATTTGAAAAGTCCTGTTACTTTCTTATTGGAATTGTTTTATTTTGAATTAAAGCTTTCGTGACTGCAGGGATTCATCTTTATGGTTCTTTCAGTAAAGTCACGTAGAAGGGAAATAATTGTATTTTATTATGTTTTATTTTTATTATTTAATTACTTCACTTCTACGTGACTTTACCGAAAGAACCAAGAAGATATTATAACTTTATTTATTTGACTTTATTGTTCTATGTTTGATTGTTCTATTTCAATGAAAACATTTTAATAAATACATGTGGGAAGCAATTCATATCTTTTAAGTTCTCATCCTTGCATTAGAATATATAGATAGAGCAGTTCATATTTTGGTGGTGTCATGTGGTAATTCTCCATCATATGTTTTAAATCTATGACACAGTGAATATTGAACTGAAGCTCTGACTTTTAAAAAATGTAATCGCAAATCGAATCGCAATATCTGTCAGAAAAATTGCAATTAGATATTTTCCCCAAAGCGTTCAGCCCTCGTGCGGAGGGAGGGACATGTACGGCTCGTAGGAGCGACTCCCCGGGGCAATCGATCTTCACCCTTGCGACGGTGTATTTCGTGTGGGGGGCGCGAACCCCCCTGCCTCGGAGCGCTCTGCGTAAACTTGACACAATTGTGTAAAGTTTAAGCGAATAAAACGGCTCGAATAGTTGCAAGAGTAAGAGGAAGATGTGGAAATTGCATGCGGAATTGAGTAGAATAATGTCAATCTTACTTAAAATGTGGCAACTGAAGGAGCCTCCGTTGCAAATCGTAGCAGCTTATCACACAGTTTAGGGATGAATGCCCTGTAGGCCAATTAAAAAAATAATTCTGTAATACTGCAACAAAAACCCAACATCAATTTCAAGGTGTTTTTCGGCCAATTTCCGAGTGTTTCTTCACGCTCATCACTGCAAGCCCACGGATTGCGATTGCACAGTTGAATAGCGGGGAGATGAATGCAGGGCGGGCGCAAATTCGATGGCCACCATCCGTCCATTTCCAAACAAACGCTGCGATTCATGCCAATTTCTGTGTCATATTGGGGGGGGGGGGGTGGTTGGGGGTGGTGGGCAAAGCCGTGCAGCGTACTGTGCGCTTCGCTCGCCTGATTTGCCATGAGGGCCTTTTCCGAAAGTGCCTTTGCTTTTCGTACGGAAAAATATTCATTACCGTTGCAGGGGAGCCGGGACGCATGAACGCACGGCAGACAATCGCAAAAGTACATTTCCCAACCCTGAGCGGCGCTTATTCAGATGTGCACCTGAAAAGAAAAAAAAAATCCACATCATCATTTGCGATATTTCACAATTGGCTCGCTGCGGGCGATTGCCGCTGTGAAAACGCACGCAGCCTGGGAACCGGGAGATTCGCAATGAAATGTGGCTGCGATTCAGCCCTGCCGTACTCACCCGCCTGCAGCTGCCATGCACATTTGTTGTTCTGTCAACCCCGTGTTGAGCGTTCGATTGGAAAATGTTCCACATCTGGGAGCATTTCCGCCCCGGTTGAAACACAACGGTTGTTCCGAAGCACCCTGTGATGTCTCCGTGGCGTTTTCCCAGCTCAAACGGGTGTTGATGAGCCCACATTTTTTCGGTGAAAATGTATTTTTTTTTCTCCCATTGACAGCTGCATTGCATTATAGACCGTTCAAATCATCTCCAAAACAAGTTGTAAAGGGAATTCAATGTCATTCCAAGAGGATTATTTTTTTGTGTCCATTCCACTTTTTCATTTTTGGGAAAGAAAGTGATATTAAACTTCTGGTGTTGTCTGGGCTGCTTATGAAGGTTTCATTGCAACGCAAGTGCAGACTATCCATTGCACATGTTGTTGATTGTGTGGGCTTTCCTATCCCATCAAACAAGTCTGAGAATGACTACTAGCTCGAAATTGGACGAACATTTTTGAAGGGATTTGACGTTGGCAGCCGTGCGCAGGCGTAGCTCAAAAAGAAAACTCAGCAGATTCAAAGTCACTTGCCTCACAATGAGAAATATACACAGCGGCGGCCTCATGCTTTGTGCATCAAGCCTCTCTTTAGAGAAGAGCGAGATGGGGGCAGGTCAGGAGCCGGGGGGGGGGGGGGGGTGGTGGTGGAGATTAACAAACGAGATCACAGTTTATTTATACTGCGAGGCTTGGGTAGAACACGAACGAGTTTTGTAAGAAAGTCGATAATGAACAGTGTTCCCAAGTTTTCTCAAGGCCCCGCGGCATGAAAGACAATCTGCAAGTTGATGTCGGTCGACCTCTTTGCTCCGCAACTCTCTTCACTCTGATGAAGAGATATTGCATGAAATGATCATCATCATCATTGTCATTGTCGTCATCGTCATCTGACTGAAACATCATTCTGCTATGAGAAGGGGGCTGCTTATCTTGAGTCATTTTAAATCGCAGATCTTTTTCCCCGTCCAGTATGCTACAGAAATGAAAAATAAGTACCCCCCCCCACCGCCGACCCCCCTCCCCTCCAACGATGTTAGCCTCGAGCGGTAAGCACGACGTACGGAGTCGGCCAAGTTGCCTCTCCGTGCGTGCCTTGGAACCATGGGAGATGTTATCGCTGCGGTTTATCGTGTTTCTCTGTTCGCAGGCAGCCTGCCCTACGGGGGGGGGGGGGGGGGGGGGGCGGTAGAGAAGGTCAAACACGGCCTGGTCAGGGTGGGCCGGACCGGCAAAATGGAACCACGGTGTAAAATTCCAGCTGCGAACGCTTTCGGCGTTAAGCACCGTTTGACGATGATCGCAAACGCCAATGCCGTCAAAGCGGCCAAACGCAGTTCTAACTCAGCTCGCCGAGGGGGCAGTGTGGGAAGGGCGGGGGGCCCCACAATTCCCGTGGGATCGCTTTTCCCATCGCGTGGGGGTTCAGTTTCCGAAAGCTTGTCACCGTTTGCGTGTGCTGGTTGCCATTGTAAAATGTAACCTCCGTTTGAGTTGAAGGTTTCGCAGGAGAATGAGCACTGATGATTTTGACGTGGTTTTGTTTTGCAGGCGTGCCATGGCTGCTCTCCGGGGTCTAAATGTGACTGCAGCGGAGTGAAAGGAGACCGGGTAAGCGCTTAAGCCATCGTTGTTCTAAGCGGTTATTTGTTTAGCTAAATCAGTGTTGAGTTTCTCACTTCTAACGGAGCGGAACTCATCGCGCGAGTGTTCGCGTGTGTGCACGTGTGCCTGCGCTAACACCGTGAATTTGACTTGACCTTCGTTTTGACCTCGGGACCTTCGCCAAGGCTCGGTGGAGATTTACAATGCTCAGTGTCGCAATCGTGACCCATGGGCTATGTTGACCTGCAGCAAATCGAGCAGCTGTTAGTGACAGTTATCAGCTATCATAGCTAACACAAAGAGAAAGATTCCCCGTAACAGATTGTTGGGGCAAGTGCTGTTAGCGAGCACCTATCACGGCCGGCACAACATACAAGGGGTGGGTTGGCCAGCACTATGCCTGGCCGTCTTTGTCTCCCCAGTGGCCATGTTTACATACCACACCAGGTACTCAATTGAGGCTGAGTCGACCAGAAGCTAACAACAACAACAACAACCGCCATTCGCCACTAAGTGGCGGTGATGTCACCAAGACGCTTGTGCCAGGCCATGTGCACCTTGAGGCCACGTGAAGTGTCGAACGCCCGCTGGCAGGAGAAGCTAACACACACACACACACATATATATATTACTATGTAGTAGCATCTTCACTCGGAAAATATAACAGTTATCCCAGAATTGTTAGCATGTCAAGATCACGTTGCCAATCTGGATTTAAATTCATGACATCGGCTCAATGACGGTATTAGTTGTGTTGAAGGCAACGTGAAAACGCACAATCGGTGGTGCCAGCGTGAGAAGGGGGGCTTTTCCGTCTCCCACCCATCCCAGCATCGTTTGCACGTCAGGATCATCTCCTTCGCGAATGGGAAATTAAAGACAAAGCCACATTAATCTTGATTTGAAGCTTTCGTGACTGCAGGAATCCACACTCTTTGGTTCTTTCGGTAAAGTCACGTAGGTAACATTTTTATTTTATTTTATTTTTCTACCGAAGTGACTTTACCGAAAGAACCAAAGAGTACAAAGCCACATTGCAGCCCAAACTGTGGACGGGAGAGTAAACCCACTTTGGTCTGCACTTGAACTCTCTCTCTGCTGAAGGCCTATCGCTGTAGCGAGCAGCAGCAGACCTCCACCTTGGGTGAATTCATCTCACGAGTGGGCAGTATTGCCGTACGTAAGAAGAAGCCAGACACACGGAGATAGATAGAGAGCCATCGAGATACCTAGCTGCTCATCGGAACACATTCAAGACAAGCCACAGGAATGTGATTGTGGTCATACAACCAAAACTGTGGACCGCACAGGAAACCCGCTGTGGTCTGCGCTCTTTCAACGCAGGAGGAGGAAGAGCAACACGACATGAACTCTCTCTCTCTCTCTGCTGAAGCCCTCTTGTCGTAACCAGCAGCAGACCTCGACATTAGGATTTAGCTCCTAAGCAGAGTAGAATAGACTAGAATCGCCTATCTCAGACAACTTCGTTGCGTATATGCAATCGTTCGTTACTTTCGCGTGCACATTTTTTTTCTGGCTGTTGATGTGCCTGTTCAGAGAGAGAGAAACTTCTCGAATTGACATGATTGTTAGCAGCTGTTGTACGCATACAGCACATACGAAAGCCTAATATCACTTCACCGCTATCCTGCCTTTGCTCAGATACGATAGCTTAATGACATTTGTTGCAGGATTGTGTTGCTGTGTGCCCAGTTAGAGCAGCGGAACATCAAGTCCCTGGCTTTATCGGCAGTGCTTTTGGAGGTTAATTGAAGAGGCCAGCTGCTGTTTTTTAAAAATGCGTTACGGAGGGCCTCTGGTTGTGTGTGTGTGCACACGCGCGTATTGGAAGGACGTCTGGGATTTAGATTTAACGCAGCCTGCCAGGCGCATAAAAAAACAGGAAAGGTATACGTGCAGAATGTAAACCCTGGCTGTAGGCTTGCTGCAGGCACACAAGGCCGACGAGTAAAAATAAAAAAAACTATTTAAAGCGAAAAAGATTAAAAGATTTGTAAAACATTTTTTAGCTCAAACCGCAGGATTTTCTGAATGTGCAATTACACGCGCGTTGCACCGCCTAACTGCGGCAATTCACTTCACGTCGTTGGCGCGATAACAGTCGGTGTTCGCGAGCAATTCAAAGGCACGGCCGCGCTATCCGGCAGTAAAATCTCAACTTTCGTAAATTTTCGTCTCAAGTCCGAGAGCACCGGGGGTGGAGGGGGGAGCGGGTGGGGGTGGAGGGGGGCGGGGGTGGAGGGGGGCGGGGGTGAGGGGCACCAGCTGTCACACGCGCAGGTGGGCGCGCAACGCGTCCCCCCAAATTTACCCACCGCTTTGTGATGGGTGCTCTGGGCGTGTTGGTGAAGCCAACGCCCTTGGTATGGAACGAGCATAGGCAAAGCGCGACGCCGTGCATTGAGCCCGTTTGCAGACGTGTGTGGCTGAAAGCCAGGCGACGGGAAGCAAGCTCTGCGAAGGGGAAGTGGGACACGGCGCTCTGCATCTGATGACCCCCCAACTGTGCTCCATCCTGGAAGACTCCCATCGCGCAGCGCCGATCGGTGAAAACTCAGCGCGTTCGTAAATGATGCTGCCCTATAAAGGGAGGGCCTGCCTTCGTTGCTTATGAGGACGGGACCGTCGTCCTCAAATGTCACCTGTGACAGATGTTACTTATTTTAAGGCCGCGTTGTTATTGACGAATGCGTTGAGGTGTTCTTGTTGATTGTGCCCCACCACTACCAACGCAGCGGTGGTGGCAGCGCCAACATTTCCAAATAATAAGCTCAGCAATCTGTTGTTGGGGCATCGAACGAGTCATCATCGCGACCTTAGAATGCTAAATTTAAGCACGAGTAATACCCTCAGCTAGGCGAAAATGGACATCATGGTTTTTAAGTCCCTCAGAATAAATGTAAATCAACGGAATCAACATATCGTTACCCACCCAACCGTTCATCGAGTTTGGTTCGATCTCCAATGCGAAACGGCGTAAAGACAAACGCAGAAGGTCATGGGGGTTCGGAACAGATGTCGGATACCCCGAGTTCCAACCCCTGTCCCCCCCTCCCACCTACCCTCCACAAAAGTTATCGCGTAACGCACAGAGACCAAAAGTATTCATCTGCGGTGCCAAGCCTCTTGGTGAACGAGGAACAAAGAACAAGGATCACGCTTTCTCACACGGCCGCGCCGCTGCCTGCGCGCGTACACACACGCGCGCCGTTCATCGTGGGTCCAAATGATTGGGAAGCTTCCGTCTTAAATCGGGCAGGCGCTCGCCGAGCTCTCGACGCAAGCAAGCCCCGGCCGGCGGTGCCGCAGTTTGGCGTCGGCTCGCTTTGCCGTGACCGCATTCAAACACTGAGGCTAATGAGAACGTGGGATAATCTCTCAATCTCTGCGGCCCTGTCAACTGCAAATTTGGATGCGTCCATGTTGCCGCCTACCGCTCGCTTTTACTTTTTCTTATCTCAACGATGAGCAATCCCCGCCGGGGTCCACGGAAACGTGGATGCAAGAGAGACTTCTTGGGGTGGGCGCTATTTCCCCCCTCTGCTCCCAATCGTTCGAATAAAATGCACAGGAGGAGCACGTGAGTCTAAGGTGTTTATCCTGGACATTTGTGACAAAGAGCTTCATAGTTCATCGGATTCCTCCAGTCTGAATGAAGATTCTGCTTCTGATGTATGCGCGCGTTTGAGATGTCGCATTGACCGTCAAGAAAACACACTAAGTAGGGCTTGGGCAGGATTCTTTTTCTTGAATTGAATGATACATTCGCAAAGTAAAGTACAAATAAACAAATTAAAGGTGGTGGTTGAGACTCACGATGGAACGGTGGCCAAAGGAAGGAATGCACCCAGGAAGACATCGACTGGAGATGGGATCACACATCTAGCTCCTATGCAGCAAACTCCGTGGATTGCGCTGTCACAGCACTGTGGGAGATGGTGACGGCTTTGCGAGGAGGCTGACATCGAGCGGTGGATCGATCATCACCGCTTCTGATTTTCTGGCCTGAAAGTGGGTAAAAAGGCTAAGGGGCAATCAGTCACAATCCTTGGAGTCTTCTTAATGAGATGAATGACTTCATTTGGATTTGTTGACGCACAAGTTGCACGTTGTGAAATCCATTTGTTTGCAGCCGTCACGCAGATGGTGATGGGTTCACTCGTAATTCACAGAAACTGCTGGATCTGAAATTTCGCTACACGTCGAACATTACTGAAACAATAACACGAATGTGCAAGTGTCTCCCACAGCAAACACACACCAGGACCCTCCTGTGTTAAGTTCGCTGTCCTTCCTCCGCACCTCCGATTAGCACGGTTGGCTACGTACGGTGTGAAAGAAGTTCAACGTACATGGATGCATACATGAGGAGTCCCAGCATGCTTTGCATGTAGGAATGACCTCGCAATTCGTTGCTCGTATTCTGCACAATTGCACCACGGCACGATGTGTTGGGGGTACTGCAGTACACCAATGCGTGAGCGCATGCGCGACGTAAGAACACGTCCTGCTATAGCGGTGCCCTTAGCGCTATGAAACACTCGGCAGATGTGGACGAATGAGATCAACACATTCTTTGTCCGCTGGAGGGATTTCCGCGCAGAATGTGAATTTTTGCAGCTGTTTGCGATTCTGCGGGAAGTTCGTGGTCTTTCTGTGGCTAATGAGTCTCAGAGCGGAGTTCTCCCGCCCCGCGTCTATCTAACGCGGTGTGTGCTGAGTCTCGTGTTTACGAATGAAGCCGAGCTTCCGATCAGACTGTCCTTGCTTGCCCTTCAGAGGTCGACAACAAAGGGTCAAAGTTATAGATTCCTTGACAATGAAAAACCCATTTAAGAGCATTGAGACATTGTTGCTCTTTTCTTGTTCCCAGCCCTGAGCTAATGGTGGAAATTCCACATTCCTATGGGCGGGAGGGGGGGGGGCGAGGCCATCCGTAAGAGCACCACCGCGGACTTCTCCGATTAGGAGACTTTCACTCTCCCACTGAGTTGGCAGAAAGTGGCCAATTAAACAAAAAATCGACTTGTTCAGTTTTTTTATATTTGAAATTGAAAGGTTAGCATTTTGAAAGCATTCTATTGTTGTACATTATGCAAAGGTCCTTTGTTTACCCCCCCCCAAAAAAGCCTCATTGAGACTTAAGACTCTTTATTTTCAGAAGGGTCCCGCATTATTGGGATGTTTGGCAATTTCCACAAATGAGTTTGTGTGGGGGAGGAAATCCGAGTTCTCATGGAAATGTTACATACATGAGAGGTGACACTCAAAGCTTCACACAAATACATTAAAGACTCCTTTGCTGTACTGCCACCTCTTGCCAATCAAGTAGCCAAATCCTAATAACACGGGGTAATTTGGTCAAAGGGAACTCTCACTCAACAATTTTTTTATCAGTTTTATTATTTCATGGTAGCTTGTCAAGCATTTCACGTATACGCAACCCCATTTTTTTTCGCAAGGTCATCCAACTGCATTGGCCGAGGAAAATTTGGCTGCAAGCATTTGAACCAGGGCAGACCGTGGGGACTCCACCAAAACAATTTTCCACCCCTCATATTAGTGCAATGAAAAACACATGTGTACGGATCCTATGGCACGTGGAGCATCGAACCAAACATACGGTAAACCATGTGTACAAGGGCAACGGTGGGAAAGTGCCACTGCTGAGCTGAAATCGAGCTTGCTGTGCATATTCCGTCACTCCACTGTGCGCTCCAGAAAACGGAATTGGGGGGGGAAGGGCGTTTGACAATGCATCGATTCATCAATTTGAAATAGATTATTTTGCTCGGCAAAGGGCTGAGTCAAACCCTCAACCAGGATTTGAACTCGCAACCTTTGCATTGCGAAGCTGTCCACTCTATCGCTGGGGCCACCTGGCCAGTTTTATTATCATTGAGTGTTCGGGCAGGCTGAGGTGACTGGCCAGCCCTGAGGTTAATGCCCATGCTGGGTACTGAGCCAGCGCCTCTGAAACACCAGGTCAAAGCCCCAGGGCATGTGAGTGAAATGCATGTGTGGTCAGTGTGGTGGTATCAGCCAGGTCACACATGACTGCACAAACACGCCAGGTCCAGTAATTGGCTGTTTGCTGGTAAGTAAGGTCACAGTCAGTGCCCGGAGTACATAAACTCTTTTTAGGCCCGAGGCTTGAAGCCTGAATAGGGCCGGGGAATGAAACTAGCGGTGCCAGACCTACGGTACAATGCAGTTTCATAGTGTCTCTAGAGCATCTAGTCCGAGGTGATCGCAGCGATGGAGCGATTTAAATCCGCTCGTTTGCAGATGCTGAGTGGATTATCACATTGCAGGACCGTAAGAGGTGGTGACTGTTTGGATAGATCTTCATCTAGCAGTGGATTAACCATGGCTGCTGATGATGATCATGATTGCCTATATGCTGGACAAGTCCATCATCGGGACGAAATGGGGGTGTTGATAATGTTTGCACTGTCCTTCTACTGTTCACCTTTTGGCTGCCTGTCCTCTATAGCATTGGTGCAGGCCAATCAGTTTCAAGGACTAATGTGTACATTATCGAAGCATATTTATTTTCATTTTCTTTTTTTGGCCGCAAGTAGGTGTGGCTAATGCAGACTTGATGCCTCGTAATTCGTGTCTCTATGGTGGTGCTTGAACATCTTTATGCCAGATAAGGGTATACGCCCTTTTTTTACACAACTCATTATCTATCCAAATAATTTGGGCGATCTCTCGTAGTTAACTCGAGACCGGATTGCGAGCCGGTGGTGGTGGTGGGGGGAGAATCTGTGAACTGGAGTGCCATGGTTGCATTTACGGGTGAGGGTGAGGAATTTATTGCTGAGGGATATTACGAATGATGTGGAGTTTTTTTGAAGTGAGGGGCTTTTGTAAAGGTCTAGTCGTGAGACTATTGGGGAGATGTCTGGTAGTTCTGAATTCTGAAAGCATCGCAATTTATTTTTTCTTCCAGATTTGAGCCTGGTAGCTGCAGTCCATTTTTTGTGTGTTGCAAACAAACTAAATGCCCCCTTGTTCGGATGCTCTAACAAAAAAAAAGACTCCTCCAAAAGACATTCAGCATTGTTCCAATTGAAATGCTCCTTAACAGGATGCTGTGATGTCAGGCTAAAAATATGCACAGAGAAGGGGCTTTCTATTTCGAGCTGTGAGCTGACCAGGATGAGAACCGGTAAATAAAAAGGGCCCGTCGGTTTGTTTGCTTTGTTTTCTCTTCTTTTGCGTGTGTGTTTGCCACCCGTGATTTACGTTGAGTTTTTGTTGTGGGTGTTTGTGAATGCAGGGAGACAGGGGCCTTCCTGGGCTGCAGGGGCCTTCAGGCCTTCCAGGATTTCCGGGGCCTGAGGGGCAGCCGGGCCTGAGGGGTCCCAAGGCACGTTCGATGATCTCCACACCTCGCCCGTGGCCCCTTTCCTCCCGACCTCTTAACCCTTGCCAGCTCTGCGCCACTGTGGTCTCCCATCACCATTAAAACACACACACACACACATGCGCCACGTTCGCTCTGACCAATTTATTTTTCTTGTGACAAAAAACTCTGTGACGGATTGGTCAATGCCAATGCTCTAAAGAGGCAAAATGTTAATCTTAGGTGATGTTTTGTGCAATGGTGCTTCTAAAGGAGAATCACAGGAAGCGTTAACCAGAAAAAAGCCTGATCATAGGCTTAACATTATATATTTTTTTACCATATTGAAAAATATTTTTGCTGATGAATATATTTGTACTCATAATGACTACCCCAGTTCAATAGCTATGAATGATTACATTATTATGCTCCATGAAGCAAGTTTATTATATATACTGCAAACCATGCTGTTAATGAGTGCTCTAAGAATTATTAACGAACATTTCTGGAAGGCAATGACCCAGTCTTGAAAAGTTGACATTGATTTGAAGACCTCAGCCCCCGCCCCCCCCGACCAAACGTTAGAGTAAAATCCTTTTCTGCAACTTCAGTAGCCCGTTACCTACCTCCTTGGCAGACAGCGGCCTGTGGGACATATTCCAACGTTCTTGTCACGCCATCTCCTCATCCTCACTTTGAATTTGTTTGCAAAAAATACTATCTGATTCAAAAGAAACAAAAGGGGAGGAGCACATGTTTTTCAAAACAAGCCGGTTGTTTGGCAGCGACGATATTTGACTCACATGGAATTGCGAGTGGGCTTTGGGCGGGGACACATCTCGCCTATGAGACGGCTCAAGGACAAAACACTGGCAATGGAATGGCGTCCAAAGGAGAGATAGCGTGAGCACACAGGACGAGAGAAAGTAGGATAAACGTGGAATGGCGAGAGCCAGTGAGAAGCCTTCTTTACAGCAGTGGATAGAGCGTGGTTGACGAAGACTTTTCTTTTCCCAGTGAAGCGCATCTTTAATTGTGTAGTTCACCAAACGTGCGGTTTGCTTCGATGTCCGTCCTGAAAAGTTTGACTCCCATCCGTAGAGCAAAAGTGGGAGTTTTTCCTGGAACCCATATTGTCCCCCGCCACCCGGCCCCCAAATGCAATCGTTAAGTCTTCCGGCAAAACAAGTGGCGATTACATTTTTAAATTAAGGTCAAGCAGCAGGAGCTCTAATCAGCGCCATAAAGTCAGAGCGATCAACAGCGAAACGATATTCATCGCCCGCCAGAGCGCAAGAGGCAGCAGGAGAAACAAAGTTCGCAACCTCTGCTTGTGTTCTGTCGGCGCAAACCACTCCTAACCACATGGCCACCAGGGTCAGGTTAATCAGTTGTGGGGCCCCTTTCTAAAGTTCGCTGTTGAGAAAAGTAGTTTTGCCTGCAGTATGAGGGGAGGCTCTCCTCCCATTGGCCTCTTAACGGCGTTGTTTGTGCCAAAGAAACAACGCGGCAAGCTGTGGGGCCCCTTCTGCACGATGCGAGCACATGGAGTACTGGCATTCAGGGTCGCAACTATTGGGGGGGGGGGGGTTATGCGGCAGCGTTACGAGACGCATAGGGGGGCCCAGTCGGCCACAAGGGGGGCCCCGAATTGACAAAAAATGTTAAGAAAAAATTATTCGACAGAAAATATTCCAATGATGAACTAATGAATGCCAAAAATTGTTACAATTGAAAACACATTTACGAAGAATACACACAGCGTAAAATCTAGTAGCGCTACTGATGGTGTTTGTTACTGAAACATGCCCATTAAAGCAAGGCACATGGTAACCTCATCGTGAGAATTGCACCTTTAAATATTTGTTATTAATAATGTCACTGTGAGACTGTCTTCCTCTAAACCCACTACACTGTGCAACTAGAATAACAAATATCGTTATCGCCTACACATTATTATTGTATGCGGGTTACAAAACATCCGTAGCCATTTCAGTAAAAGCGAGTCGGGAGAAAGGAGAGGAGGGTCGCACAGTCGTATCTTGCCATACCCACCCCGTTGAAAGAGGTCACTGTGCCCCTGCCGGCCTCCGTGCTGATGTTGGTAACGGCGAGATGAGCGGTGGAATAAAACATCTTCTTTCGGTAAAGTCACGTAGAAGGGAAATAATAAAATAATAAAAATAAAACATTAAATAATTCTCACGACGTTTCGGCCACAACGCAAGCAGCCGTCCTCAGGTGAAGAACAGGTCTGTCGGGAAGACAGCGTCTGAATGAAACACCCCAGGCTTGGAGCGTATATTTAAGCTGGGTTGGAGGGGGAAGAGCGCCTTGACAAAAGAATTTGCATATCAAGATGAATTTAGCATATTTATGGGAAATGCAGATATGGGATTCGTCACTACTTGTGAAATGCGTAGGAGGTGGGCGGGGGGTTTCAAAGTCATATTATGCCTCTTCCATTAATAGATCAATAGATGGGGCGGTGTAACGTCGAACAATCGAGACACTTCCTGGGACATCCTTTGCCAGTACCAAAATATACTAATAGGGGTTGTCCCATTTTTTTGGCAACAAAACTGACACCTTTTGCAAGGAATCATGCTTACATTAACCACAATACTTGCAGTCAAATGCAAACAAAAAACAATACTCTGATAATTTATGCATTGTCTTTGAAACTGATTGGTCCACACCAGAGACAGCTTTTTATAGAGCCTAGTCTCATATGGTGTTCGACCAGATGACGCCAAAAGGCGCACAGTTCAAAGACACCGCACTACCAGAGTAATGAGAGCTCGGGGTGAGCAGCTACATCATGGGACCTCCTTTGCCAGTACCAAAATATACTAATAGGGTTTTTCCCCTTTTTTCTGGCAACAAAACTGACACCTTTTTGCAAGGAATCATGAATTCTAGATTTGAAGCTTTCGTGACTGCAAGGATTCATATTCTTAGGTTTTTTTTTCTTCGGTAAAGTCACGTAGGTTTTAATTTTTTACCTACGTGACTTTACTGAAAAAAAACCTAAGAACAAGGAATCATGCTTACATTAACCAAAAAAAAGGAGAAAAACCCTATTAGTATCGAGACACTTGGTCAAGGTTGTGTCGGGGCGACCCGGCCCGCATTGTTTGCCTTGGATTCGAGTGTTTGTGGGCTGGCTCGCAGATCCTCGAAGGTGACATTAGATACCTGCTGTGCCAGATGCTCGTTTGATTGAAATTTCCGAACATTCGCTTACAGGGCTGGACTGTTTACATGCCAGTGTCAGGGTCTCCTGACGCACAGTCACAAGTTTCCTATAAGAAGGATGTTCTTCTATTGCTTGCGGGACTTGTCCGCAAAGGGTGTGCCCTTAGCAAAGTGTAGAGTTTTTTTTCGTCTTCAAGAAATGTAAATAAGGAAATAAAGATGTTAAATTTGCACTCCATGAGTTTAACTTTTTTTTAACACTGAATTTTTTTTACAAATCTGCTTAAGATTTAATTCCTAGGGACTTTTATTAAGGACTCTCTCAAATGGTTTAGATGTTGCCTATTGTTTATAAACACGACCCTCTATTGGCAAAGGATAACTTACCCAATATGCATGTTTAAATTCTGAGCTTTCTTAAGACAATGTTAAATACTTAACAGGTTGGTATTCAATGTAAGCATATACATTACCATACATTCCGTAAAGTAAAAAAAATGCTGTCATGGCCAGCAATACCAGCCTCATTTCACGTAGTAATTTAACTCATGATGAGAAACTGCCGGTTGATTGATGGTTGGCTCGAGTCAGCGAGCGATGTGGCACACCTGTAACGTAATAACAATGTGTGTGAACGTGCCTCCACTAACATTATTTGACCTTTTACTTTCAGGGCGACAGTGGAGACTCTGGCCCGTATGGACCAAAAGGAAATCGCGTAAGTTGCTTCAGTGCATTATCTTGAACGACGTCTTAAAAGTCGTTGTTCCCGCAAGTCGATTCTGAGAATTCCCATCAGTAAATACGAGGCGTGCAGCGGCTCTCCCCCCAAACTCGCGATTCGATGAATTTTCACGATTCATTTTATTGTTATTATTGGCATCGTGGTTACTGCGTTGGCGGCAGGAATCATGTGAATGAATTTCACGCGACGTCTGCGAATCTCAATCACGCACGATTCGATGTGTGCGTCGTGGGCGTGACGATCTATTTAAACCCATGAAATCGACGCCCGGCTACTTGCACGTTGAATCTTGCATTTTCGCAAATGCCGACAATGTCGTGTTTCACAACTTAACGTGGTCTCGTATAATTTCTATTGGCCCGCCTCTGTTTTTATCTACCCTGTATACTTGCATGGCTCAGTGTTGACATAGTTCCACAAGGTCATCCCTCAGGCAAGGCCGCAATGCTCCGTCTTGGATTTATTTTCTCTGGTCAAAAAGCTCCGAGATTGCAATTCTCACGATGCTTACATTTTTTGTCCACGTTTTGTCATGTTTCTCCCCAACCCACACCCCCCCGAGTAGACAGCGACCTTTAGAGGGTGGGTGTGTTGTGGCAGATGTTATGAATGCAGGGCCTCTCACAGGGGGGTGTGGGAGTGTGGCGAGGTAGGCAAAGGGTCAATTCTGTCCTAGGCCTCGCACAAAATAAGGGCCCTACCATAGATAGGTCTATTTGTTTTGTTTTCTCTAATGAATAAGAGGACACACACACACATACACACATGGTATTCTGCCCCAGGCTTCCCAGGTAATGAACGTAACCAATTCCTTCTCAGGAGACGGAACACCAATATGGAGCAAAAATGTGCGTGTCATCCGAGTCGGGCCTGGCTGGCAAAATTTTTTTATCGTAATCACTGGAGATCTTCCAGAAGCAGGGGCGAGTGGGGGGGCGGGTTAAATGTGTCATGCGTTATTATGTTATGCAGAGTTGTGAAATATGGCCACTACAGCCTTAATATTTTTCCAATCGGCAAATGTTATTTGGAAAAAGGCACCTCGGGTGCCTGAGATTATTTCGCTCGAATGGAACCCTTTCACAGCACCGCTTAGCGTTTTCAAATTCATGAGCAAACAGTAAGCAGTCTGTGTGTGTGTGTGGGTGGTGGCTTGGTATTTGTCCATGTGCTTTTGCTTCAATGTATTAATTTAATTATATGGGTCGGAATTATCGCGGATATAAACACGTATCGTGTAGCCAAGGTTACAACACAGGGCATCAACATTGTAAGAGTCTCGTGGAGCGATATCTGTGCCGCGTGTACGTGTGTATGTCTTTGTCTCTTACTGAAGTAGGAAGCTGTAGTGCAGCGTTTAGCTGCGCTACGAACCTGGCCACCCGAGTTCGATTCCCGCTCGCGGCCAAAATCAGTGACGATTATCTGAACCGGTCCTGGGCACCCCCTAGGTCGACTCAGCCTCAAATGAGTACCTGGTGCAGTGTGCCGTGCCAGCCTTCATAGGTGCTCGCTAATAGCACTTGCCCCAACAGTCTGTTAAGGCTATATGGGGGATTTTTGTTTCTTATTGAAAAGCCTGCATTTGCTATAATAGATCCATTTCGCATGATTACAAATGTTTACAAAGTGTACCACGAGAAGTGTTGTAGGATCACGTGCGAATCCACCTCTTTTCTTATGTAGGATGTTACACGGCGCTTTACAAGAATTATAAATTGGACATTAGTTATTGGCTGATGGGGAAAATAGGATGGGGTTTGAGTGTTGGGGAGGCAAAGGGATGAGGAGGAAGGGTGATGATAGCGATAGGGAGGCGAGGTGAGGAAGGATAGTTAATGTTTTAAGGATGCGGACAGGATAGGAGTTTAAGGGATACACTATTGCAAAACATGAGTATTTTTTTTTATCAAGTTTTAGGGAGAAGAGCTAGTAAGAGAAATAGATCAATATAAAGAAGGGAAGAGAGGGAGGGTGGTGAGGGAAGCGGAGAGCCTCCCTCACCACCATTCTTGCAGCTGCCCCCTTTAGAATCTCGATAGAATTTTTATTTATTTATAACTGATTTTTCTTGTTTATTTTGTTGTCCTTCTGCCGTACCTCCAATTATCACGGTTGGCTGCGTGCCATGGTGCGAAAGAAGTTAAACATGCATACATAGTCCTCTTTAATGCGGTTTAATTTTATTTTTTAAGTAACAAGTGTTTTGTATATATTTAGCGGAAAAAAATCAACACCGGATAATTTGGATGCCCTGGGGCTCGTTAGTGCTGCCCTGCATGCCTCTGAGGATCATCGTCAATTGTTTTTGTTGTTGGTGGTGGTGCGTAGGCCCCGGTTGCTCCGACGTTTCCCCTCCTGTCATGAGCCTCACTTGTGGTTTTTTGTGTTTTAAATTTAGTTGAAAACATTTTTATTTAAAGTATACATGTGAATGTTGTTTTTTTTGTTTCCTTCAGGGTGCACCAGGAATGCCAGGATTTCCTGGGACACCGGGTATTCCGGTAAGATTTATATATATATATAAAAACCCAACACAATATTTTAGTTTAAATATGTAAATACAAATGAGCAAAGTGGAAATATTTTTTGGACTAGATATGAAAATGTACAATATCGAACTTTGAGTTGTTTTTTTTTACATTTAATTTATTTTCAGGGTTTGCCGGGACAAGATGGCCCTCAAGGGCCTCACGGTATCCCAGGATGCAATGGGACTAAGGTAAGGCCCCCAGTCTGGCTTTTAAGTGTTGTTTTTACTTGCGTGCACCGTTTGAGTTTGAGATTATTCGATTTGCACGGATGGTCCCGCTGAGCCAGTGGCCCAGGTATTTCTGTACCATGTCATCGAGTGGCACATGACCAATTTAAAGCGAGTGCTAAAGAATTATGCCTGGGGGGATGTTTTGTAGAGAGTTTTGCGCAAATGCAATCAGGAAGGCATGCTCATTTTGCAAAGTGCATCCATCATTATTTAATCACGTGCTAAATATTTGACTCTTGTTAACATAAATTACCGTGCCATGTCCATAACGTCTATTAAATTATAATGATAGCGGCTGAAAAACATTCCAGGCTTGCAGGAGGTGAATGAAATACAAATACTGTATCGGGGGGGGGGGGGGGGGGCGGGGAAAAGAAACATGAAAAACATTGCAAGGCAAGATAAAATAAATGAAATGTATGAGATTTCTAGATACCATAGGGTATATTTGGACAAGGTGCTAAGTGAGGCTGATAAGTGATAAGGTATGGGTTAGGTTGGCTTTGAAGAGGCATGGGAAGGGGCGAGGAGAGGCAGGACAAGTCAACTCTGGGCCCTCTTGAGTTTATTTGGAACACGTAGAGCCCCATTGCAATTCTACTGCCTTACTCCTCTAAAGCAACACGCAGGAGGATTATCACCATTCCAAGTCTGAACCTTTCACCTCCTTAGAAACCCATTGGCTGACGATTTAAAATAGCTTGAGCAGAGGTCCATATATGTGTGTATGTAGGATTCGCAGAGCACCACAACAATAACTAATGAGTTTGTTTACCAAGAAGTTTGCTCAGCCTTATCTTGAAAACGATACCCTTACTAGCAATGGTATTAACTCTATTTTGCCACACTGCTTCATTGAGGTTCATATCTCGGGTAGTTATGCAACCTTCAAGTGGTGTCCCACAGTCTGTGTGTGTAACGTGCAGATATGCTACGAGTTGGCCATGTTGTAAACTAATCGCACGCCGTTTCTCTCTTGAAAACCATGAGCTGACGTATTCCATAAACCCCCTTTGCCTTGCGAATCATGGATTGTTTACGTTGTGTACACGATTCTAATATCGTGACATTGTTGTCTTATAAGTAAGTCCAACTTTTAAAGGCCGTGCCCCCAGTAACTCCGAACCAATTTTTTGACCACTGATCGCATGACCCACAAATCTTATTACAGTACCATACAGCGTACGACTTGCCTTCACACAGTGCCTGAATGCAGCTGCTACTCCACTTAGTGCACCGAAATAAATATAGGACACAAAGCCTTAGCCGGCGGTAGGGCGAGTGGCTCGCAATCGGAAGGTTGCAAGTTCAACTCCTGGTTGGGGGTCAACTCAGCCCATATCTTCTCGAGGATCGATAAAATAGGCACCACTTTTTGGGGACGTTGGCAGCAGTTGTCATATGGGGACGACCCCCCACTCTACGAATGTGGAATTTCTACGAATTTGCCCAAGGCTGTGAATTGGGAAATGAGCAGCAGCCTCGGCGATCAATTTAAATCACTTAAACTTGTTTTAAAAGTCATCCCTTCCACAAAGTCCTAAGCTGCACAATAACAACAACAACAGCATTCTTGTTTCAGGAGTGTTGTCGTAGCCTGCGTACACACAGCAGGCGAGGCGGTGGCTAACCCTCGTGAGTAAACGTTTTAACAGAGGGATTAGTGCTACACACAAAACTAGAGCAACAGACCAGAAAAGTTTCGTCTCAAGTTTACACCACTGGCTTTTGCCTTGTTTGCCACAGGGAGAGAGAGGATATCCTGGCGGTCCGGGATTACCAGGATTACTGGGCCCAGCGGTAAGTGCTTTCCGTCTTTTAAATCCTTTGAAGGTTAAAGACCCTGAAAAAGATAAAATAAACATCTCCACTTCCCTGTTCTGCATCTCCACATTATTTTTTTATATAAAAAAACAATTATAATAAGACAGCATTACGAAATTAATGAAACGTGCTTTCATGTTTTTATTATAGTTAAGACATTCCTAATTATAATTATCACAGCATGAAAATTTAATTAGACGTGCATTTAATTGTTTTATTATAATGAAAAGAGTCCTAATTATAATTAAGAGAGTATTAAAATGTGATTCATACATTTATGGATAGTTTTCATTGTAATGTTTACCACCCATAATGCTCCGCAATATTCTATCACCCATAATTCCCCCATGACCCATAATTCTACACACCAGTGCAGAATAAGCTCTTAAAAAATATGCTGCTTGTGCAAGTCACTTTCTTATTTTATATCGATGTAATTGTGACTGAACAATTACTATTGGGAGGTTATTGTTGAACGAAAATATACATTAAAGAAAAACACTATCTTTTGATTTTACCAGGTAAGGCACACTGAGCTATAGCTCTTTTTTTAGAAGCAACCTGTCCACAAATGATGTCTCACCGAAGCGGCTTATCACGTGGAAATGTATAGCAGCCAAATACTCTTAACAAAAGTTGATTCTAAATGTGGGGGCATTAATCGGAGGACCCGGAGAAAAATCCACACGATCACGGGGGAGAACACGCAAACTCCAAATATTCAGCAGCAGGCGTCAGGGTTGGGATCAGAGGTCGCAACCGGGTACCTGATACCCGTACCCTACCCGATACCCGGCTACCCGTACCCGGGTAGCCGTTTGCGACCCTGGTGCGGCCGGGTACGGGTACGGGTAGGCCGTGAGTCACTGGTGAGTAACCGTTTGTCACTCATTTCGGCCGGGTACGGGTACCCATTTGCGACCCTGGTGTGGCCGGGTACGGGTACGGGTAAGGAATCAAAACCCGTTTGCGACCTCTGGTTGGGATCGAACTAACAACTGGGCGAGGAAGATATCATGTCCGCCACTGTGCCCCAAAGCAGCTTCACGTTTGCACAGGCGCAGTGTGTACTTGTTTAGAATTACAATAGTTGGCCCAACATCAAAACAATTACTCGAGGCATCCCTGGCATGCAGACGGGGCATTTGGGTGAATTAAACCCAGCCTAGCTTAATGAAATCGACACGTACAGGAATGAAAAACACTTTTTTGTATTCTTGCAGAATTTGCATGTGTGCGAGTTGCGAACAAAGTGGTGGCGTAGTGGTGGGCGGTGGGGAAGTGGCTTTTAGCTCCCTTCGCGAGTTCAATTCTCGCTCGCGTCCAACAGCTGTGGTGAATATCTGAACCAGTTCTGGGCTTCCACTCGACAATACGTCAATGAGTGGAAGCCGCATTGGCAGTGGTGAACAAGCTCTATAAAGAAACAACAACAACAACAAAACCAACACTTCGGCCTGAAAAGAAAAAAATTATCTATACAATTATTATTGATGAATGAGCTATCAGGCCTCCACTTGGTAAACTCGGCCTTAATAAACGATCGCATCTCGCGGTGCGTAAACATCAGCGGCGAGGAGACGGCGGATGTCTTGGCTGTGGCTCATGCCCCGCCACCTCCTCGTGGACCGTGCCGGCCTTCAATAAGCCACTCGCTTAACAGCACTTGCCCCAACAAGTCTATTCGGCTGCAGAGGGGACCTTTGCCATCGTAATTATAGACAGAATGACGAGGCCATCGTGGCGAGCTGTTTCTGACGGGCATGTGTCTCTGTTGTCGCGTCACGATATTTGTTTTCTCTTTGCAGGGAATACCGGGACTGCCAGGCATGAAGGTAAAGCCGTCTGTCGGTCATGTGCTTCTACGATTAAAACACCAACCACAGCTATCGTGCTCCGAGACGCCGTGGCACACAATTGTGTAAATGTAATTTAGGCTACGTTGCCACCTTGTGTCCGTGTCTTGTCAATGCAGGCGCGCCAAGATATTACGGTTTACGAAATCATACAGACAACTCCCATGTAATAAAACCATGGGCGGAGTTTGGGGGAGGCAGGGGGCAATGCCCCCCACAAACTGGAGACTATTATGAATTTATTTTCAGTAGTTTATAATTAACATAATTTTTAATTAATTAATCGTATGCACCCGCGATTTGGAATGTGAAGGACAAAGCAAACCACCTCTCCCCCCACCCCCCCCCAAATATAGAAGTCATACTCCGCCTACGAATAAAACTCTATAGTTTGCATAACCACAAACGTGTTCACATTCGATGAACGTTTGCACGCGTAATTCTAAAGCGCCCTTCACTACCCATCAATGGGGGGGTCTCTTCTTGCCAGCTCGGCTGATGGCAGTGTGTGTGCGATTGTTTATTGACCCCTGAATATTGGATAGGGGCGGCACGAGGATGGATTAACGCAGGGGCCTCCGGGAGCAATTGTGTTTTAAGGAGCCCACAAAAATCCAAATAAAAACGCCGTCATGACGGTCGAAATGCAAAACCGTAGCACCAGCGCCATTTGGTCGATGAGACCATAACCGTCCGCGCGTGCGTCGACTTTTAAATGTAACCCCCTTTTCGATTCTTACGTCGCACTTAAAAGCGAGACCTGCAGTGGCCGGGGCGAATAGCGTCAGGGCGCGCGTGGCATTCGGCGTGGGTGGCGGTAAAACGGCAAAAGGAAGGAATTGAAAAGACAAACAAAGAGGGCACCCCCACCCACCCCACATGCAATCCGGCCCAGGGTGTACAAGCCTGCCATGGGTTCGATCAAACGCCCCCCCACCACCCAAAATCCAAGCGTCGTCTGTCTGGGTGGTGCTTCGCGTTGAGCATTTTTTTTCTGGCCGTGTGCTACGGCGCCGGCGGTGTGCGCGTCGACGACAAACGCACGTGGGCCGACCCGGGAAATCCGCCGTTGGATTCCGGGCACGGTTTTAGCGAGCGCCACGCTACGGAACCCGGTGGCCCAAGTTCGATTCCCGCTCACGGCCAACGCCAGTGATGATTATCTGAACCGGTTCTGGGCCCTCCCTTAGGTCGACTCGGTCTCAAATGAGTACCTGGTGCGGCGTGTAAACGTCGCGACGCGGAAGCCCAAAGGTGGCCAGGCGTGGTGTTGGCCACCCACGGCCTCGTGTGCCGTGCCGGCCTTCGTAGGTGCACTTGGCCCCAACGGTCTGCTAAGGCTACAAGGGGGATCTTTGTGTTTGTTTGCTGTTAACAAAACGCAACCGAAATAATTTTTTTGTTCCGCATCTCAATTTTGCAGTGGCCTTGTTTGCCCCATTCTACGTTGATTGCTTGGCAGACGCCTCGTGACAAAAGCAGAACTTTCCAAACAAAATTTTGGCGAGGCCGTGAGAGACTCTGGGGCAAGGATATAAAACTCTTGCCTGGGGCGCTGTAAAACGCGATCGCTTACTTTGGCTAACCTTGAGGACGCATTGGTCCGCCACTTAGGAAGTTATCGTCATGAAAATGCCCACGGGTCTTTCCGTCACATCGGCAGTAGCAGTGGGTTCGTGTGCGGGGGCCGTGAGCCTGCCGCTGCAACAATGAGAGGATGTTGAATGAGGCCGCCACTTCATCTTTGTGTTTGTTTGTTTTTTCTCGCAGGGCGATCCTGGAGAGTTCTTTTCTTCGTTTCCGGGGCAGAAGGGCGACGCTGGTTTTCCTGGAATTCCGGGGCAGCCCGTGAGTTTCGCTTGCTGGTGATGCACGAGGTCACAGATTTATACTTTTTACAAATGTTCACACAGTTGCTGAACGCAGCCTCTGAGGCCCAAATAACATCAAGCGGATTTACATTGTCCCGGCGACGAAGAGCAACACGATCATGAAGAGCAGGGGGTGACACGGCCCAGCGGGAGCGTTCGCCACTTATTGTGGAGGTTCTTAGATTGAGCCCCATGCCTTTTAAAGATCCCAAGAGGAGGCCATGTGTGTCGGTGCCATGATCGATATTTGCCAAATACATTTTTTTTACTCCATTGTAAACACGTAGCATCATCGCCCCCTACTGGGACAACTTAGCAGAACCCTTCTGGAGCGAGTTGATAATGACATAAATGTTACGTTATTTCATTTATATATTAGTATAATCGTAACAGTAAACTAAATATTTAAATGTATATCTCTGCTTGAGAGACGTAGAGAGATATCTCTGCTTTCGGGTGCCACAGTGGATTGATGTTAGGGGCCGTCCATAAATGACGTCACGTACCTAGGGGGGGGGGTGGGGGGTCAGACATTTGTGATGATGTTTGACGAGGGGGTTGGGTGAGAAATGTGACGTCACATCAAAATGAGCAACTTTTAATAAATATAGACAACACGTTCTACTTCATTAAATAGACTTTTTAATAAATGTTTTCTCCTACAACATCAGAGTGCAGCGGCATATTAAATACGCACTACAATGACAATAGTTTAAAGCGATTTGAAGCATGTTTTTTTTTTGGGGGGGGGGGGGCAGAGCTTTTTGACGTCACATTTGAGGGGGGGTCTGACTTTTTGTGACGCCGTGTGACGAAGGGGGGGGGGGTCAAAAATCGTCCAAAATCGCGTGACGTCATTTATGGACGGCCCCTTACCTCCTTCACCTGCTACGCCAGAGATTCGTGGGTTCAATCCCAAACCATGACGATCACCGATCCCCGTAATGTGTGTGTGTATGCTATAATGTGTGTGTATGCTATAATGTGTGTGTATGCTATAATGTGTGTGTGTATGCTATAATGTGTGTGTATGCTATAATGTGTGTGTATGCTATAATGTGTGTGTGTATGCTATAATGTGTGTGTATGCTATATGTGTGTGTGTATTGCTGTAATAATGTGTGTGTATTACTATAATGTTGTGTGTATGCTATAGTGGTGATGTATGCTATAATGTGGCGTGTGTGTATGCTATAATGGTGTGAATGCTATAGTGTTTGTGTATGCTTAAGGTGTGTGTGAATGCTTATATTGTTGGTGTATGCTTAGATGTTTGTGTGTATGCTATAATGTGATGTGTGTATGCTAGATGTTGTGATGTATTTGTAATGCGATAATGTGTGTAGTGTTTGAATATATAACTTTTTGTGGTATGCTATCTGTCTGTGTTTTGTAATGCATAAGTGGTGGTGTGTATGCTATACTGTGTCTGTGTGTGTATGTTATACTGTGTCTGTGTGTATGCTATAATGTGTGTGTGTTTACATGCTATAATGTGCGTGTGTGTTGTGTTTCAGGGGCAGCCTGGGAGCTCAGGACTGCCAGGACCATTTGGGCCACCTGGACAAAGAGGTTTTCCTGTGAGTTCGTGCGTGTGTTTGTCTTTCGGCGTGGATGTGTGAGTGTTTGCATTTGTGCGTGTGTATTTTTCCGTGTCTTTGTATGTGTGAGTGTTGTGTCTGTGTCTTTGTCTTTTTTGTATTTGTGCAGGGAGCGGTAGTGCAGCGGTTAGCGCTCTGTGCTACGAACTCGGCGACCCGAGTTCAATTCCCGCTCACGGCCAACACCGGTGACGATTGTCTGATCTGATCCTGGGCCTCCCCTAGGTCGACCCAGCCTCAAATGAGAACCTGGTGTAATATTCTTGGGTCTTTCGGTAAAGTCACGTAGATTACATCTGGTGTAATGTGTACACATCAGACAAAGGCGGCTGGGCGTGATGCTGGCCACCCACCCTCTGGTGTGCCGTGCTGACCTGTGTACGTGCTCGCGAACAGCACTTGCCCAAACAGTCTGTAGAAGGCTATACGGGGGATCTATGTCTTGTTTATGTGTGTGGGGAGCAGTGGCACATTTTCATGCTCACCACGGTTACTCAGCACAGGCACAGAGATTCAAAATCCAAACGACACTGTTTAAATTTTTAAAGATAACAGTTCATAGATTTCTGGAATTGATTGAGAACTTTGGGAAACAGTCGACGGGAGGGAATTCCAAAGTGGAGCAGTGCGTGGGAAGAAGTGGAATGAGAGGGTGTTTTGATCTCCAGTAGTGCGGCGGTTGTGTGCATGTATGTTGAACTTCTTTCGCACCGGACGTAGCCGACTGCGCTCATCGGAGGTGTGGTCGAACACGGAGTGAACTCGGTTTCAATTGCCAGATTCGGCCACTGTCAGTTGGCGGTGTAGCTTTCAAGGCGTGTGTACGCTCAGAGGGTGGACCCGGTCATGAGACGTGGAAAACATCTGCCTATCTCTGTGGATGCTGTCGTGTGTTGTGTGCAGGGCCCATCTGGTCAACCCGGGTCCCCTGGCCCAAAGGTAACGGCGGTGTTCAAATATTTCTTACGGCCTCCGTTAATATTCGCAAAATTGAAATAACGTTGTTTTGCATGCAAAAAAAAAAGCCCGTCAATGTTGACATGTTGGGTGTGTAATTTGCACAATTGTTCACTTTACAGGGTTCCATGGGTTTGAATTTTGAAGGACAGAAGGGTGAAAAGGTGAGTTGCTGCTGTGATCATTACTGGGCATGGAGCTGCATATCGAACGATGCATAGATTAAAATGGATTTAAAATAAATTCCATGCTTGCACTACACGAAGTAAATTGTGCTTGTAAAATAGATTATTTAAAAATAGACTGTTTAAAGAAGTATACATATTACATACAAATCGTGATAAATAGAAGTGTAATGTCCCCCCCTCCCCACACCCCACTCACTACCTTGCGATGTAATCAATGAGTTGTTGTGATTCAGCGTCTGGTTTCGATGCAAGAATCAGCTTTGTTTACATTGTGGTGAATGCTGTCTGTCTCTCATCCTTTACACAAATTATCTTGTGTTGCTGCTGCTGCTGCTGCGTTGGCAGTGGTGCATGAGCACACAATGAACACATAGACGACAATAAAGAAAAACTCATCACGGTCATCAATCTCACCGTGGCCTTCAAAGAAAATATGCAAGAGGCGACGTATCGAACAACAGCCCTCATTCGTAGCATAACTATATAGAGAAGGGCCATTGCCTGAAACGTCGACGAATAGATTCTTTCCCTCATTGATTGTTCTCGTGACGCATTCTGCTCATTTTAAAATCCTTTATATTAAGTTCACTTGCTTACATGCTTGTTTGTGCGCTTATGACCGTGCAAATCTTTCGGTCGTTTTTTAACCCACTTCCCGTGATCCAGTCGAGCTGACATTTTGCACACAGACTCGTTGTGCGTGACAATTAATTTTCGTGAAAATTTTTTTCAAAAATTTTACACTTTTTAGGAAAAAAAAATTATATGTAATTACCAATTGCTTAATGGTGGCAAGCAATCATCTGACCCATAGGTGGCAGCCATCTCAAGCCAGAGGACGAGAGGACTCTAGCCGCCACGCATATAAAGGATTTATAGTGAAAAACTTTGTTTTTACAGGTTAATTTTTTCTCTCAATTTCAGTGCTGGTGGGGTGGGGGGGGTGTAGGGAGTGGGAACTCCCATTCTCTCATTCTCTCGCTCTCTCTCTGCCTTTATTTCGCCATTTGCTCACGGTATTTGTTTGCCCTCTCCGTGACCTCAGGGTAGCACCGGACCCGCAGGCCCTCCGGGGCCTCCTGCAGGGCCGCCCGCGCAGGAAAAGCCGCCGGAGGGAGTATTTTACAAAGGCAATAAGGTGATCATAACAACACGGAAAATGTCGTTGTGAAAAATATAAATAGCGAGATTATAAGCGGACACACCGTACCATCTGCGCACTCCCAGAAGGCTGCGGGGCCGATGGTTTGTGTAAGGAAATATTTTAATGTTTTTGCTTTTGCGTAGACGTGAAGGATGTGTGTTGTTGGCTGGTTCATTTTGATTTTCAGAAATAGCTCTTGAGACCTCTTACCAGGCCCCATCCTCGGACAGGGGGGGCGACGGCGCTGGCAGCTGTCAGAGTGCCCAACTGAAAGTGTCGTTTGTCACGTGACCTCAAACCCAACAGCGCAGCTGGAAGATAAATTTGGGGCGAGAAGCGAAAGTTATACATTGCCGTCCGATTGACGCGTTAAAGCGACATCGCTGTGCCCTGTACACCGTCTCTGAGAGGCTCACAATACGTCCTGATGGTCTCAGCTCGGAGGCCTTGGTCAAAGCGTCGCGAAGACGGTGTTCGTCGTCGATGCAATAGCGACCTTTCGGTGGACTCCTGGTGTGGTTGGGCCGTCCAATCCGGAGTCACTGCATTGCACTGGAATCTCCATTGAAATCCTCCTCCTACACAACAACAAAACAAATTCCCTTTTGTCCCACCCACACCATTGCCCCAACGGGGGAGGTTGTGGGGCGTGGGCGGTGTAATGAGGGGGGATGGGAGGGGGGTTCTTCAACCTCGCCACTCTCTTAGCTGTCGGACGGTAGCTCCGGATGCAAGAGGACCCGACGTTGTGATGTCTACGGGTTTACGCGTCACGGGCTTTTGCACGAGCCCAAAACAAGACAATGGACATCTCGCTACTTAAAGGGATCAATGGGTCATCTGTTGTGAGCAAATGTGTGACGATTGTGGAAAAGTGTAGAGTTATTCAGGGAGGGGATAACATTTTCTAGAGCTCAGCCTCGGACAGCTCCAGCTGAAATGCAGCACTGGGCGGAGGTTGTTTGGCCCCCACTGCACCACCCCCTCCCAACCCCCATGGATGGAGAAGTGCTCCTATTGGGGAGAAGCTCTCCCATTCATGAGAAGCTCCCCCATCGATGTGAAGCTCCACCATCGATGTGAAGCCCTCCCATGGATGAGAAGCCCTCCCATCGATGAGAAGCTCCCCCATTCATGAGAAGCTCTCCCATTCATGAGAAGCTCCCCCATCGATGTGAAGCCCTCCCATGCCAGAGACACCCCCACCCCCCCCCGCTCCCAGCTGTTTTAAAAGCACGGCCCTTCGGACAGCGCAGTGAGCACATACACACGGGCGTTTCGGCCTTGGCGCTAACGAATTCTCGCTCGTGCGTGTGATCAGGGAGACGCTGGACCCCCTGGTTTTCCAGGCAGGGATGGTCTCCAAGGTCCTCCGGTAAGTTTGCGTTGATGCCAGTTGTTTTAGTTAATAAACAATGATATTGTTAACGATGTGATTTAGACATGGCGCCCTTGAATGCCAGGTCACCTTGGCGCACTTTACATCGCATCTCATCCAAAACATTGGAAAGGGCACCCTCCCGCAGGGACAGCTGCCACTGTGGGGGGGGGGGGTGCCCTTTCACTCATTGCACTCCATTCATTGTTCTCCACTCATCGCTCCCCACTCATCACTCTCCACTCATCGCTCTCCATTCATCGCTCTCCACTCATTACTCTCCACTCATGACTCTCCGTGTGTTTCAGGGTATGCCCGGGTTTGGATTGTCAGGCGAAAAAGGAGAGCCGGGGGAGGCTGGAAAACGCGTGAGTGTCCCTTTCCCTCTCTGCACGCACGGCACGAGCGTTGAGCGGGACGTTTAGCAGCGAGCCGCGCCGAGGCAAGCGCGGCGCCCCCCCACGACTCGTCGAGGCTGGGCGCGTGCCGACGGACGGGAGATGCAGCGTGAGGGGAGAAAACACTCGGCCGTTGGTGCGTCTCCACGCGAGAACGACGTCCGCATGCCCCGCTTGCGATGCGGCAGCAACAGCAACCTTGCACCTGTTGGCGCGCCCGTTACGTTACGTTAGCGCAGAAATGCAAACCAGGGAAAACCGGGAGGGGGCACAGGATGGGACCGAGCAAGGGGAAGGAGAGAAAGGGAGCTTTAAGAAGGGGGGGGTTCTCTAAGCACGGGGTTGAAGAGGAAGGTTTTGAGTAGAGATTTGAAAGCGGTGAGAGAGGGGGATATTGAGGGAGAGGTGAACTGGCGGAGTTGCCCGGGGAGGCAGTTGCAGCGGCTTGAGTGTGGTGTAGGGGCTAAGATAGCGACACGGGTTGCTTGTGAAGCGCACGCCCAAATTGTGTGAGAGGACGTCACTCACTGCTTTGTCCTTTTAGGGGAAGCCTGGAAAAGATGGAGACCCCGGCCTTCCGGGTTTGGAAGTGAGTGTGAAATCCCCGCATCAATTTATGCCCCACGGTCACAGGCATTCTGAACACCGAGCGAACATTTAATTTTGCAATTGCTCCAAAATCAACTTCGTTTTCCCAACAGGGTCAGCCAGGGACACCTGGATTTCCTGGAAACCCTGGTTTCGATGGACAGAAGGTATGGCCCTCTAAATCATATACCTCCGTATTCAAAAGCTCGGCTTTCACTCGGGTTATGTGAAACATCTAATATATATCTCATGGGTTTTGTTTGGTGCAGTCTTTGGTGCCTGGGCTGAGATCATCAATTCTTGCTCTTGAGAATGCTGTTTAGACATATCGTTGTGAATGTGGCTTTTTGTTGTTGTGTTCTTGCCTTTGCAACCCACATCTCCTTCGATTCAGGGCATTGTAGTGTCAATGGGTCCTTAAATGGGTAAAAAGATATATATATATATAGGAACAGACTGACCGATCCCTTGGAGAGATTCATTATCGATTTTGTGGACATTCATCGGTGAAATAAAGTGTGAAATATATATATTAGATGAAGCGTGTGTTAATGTGTCCTGTCTTATGAATGTTTTATTTTCAGGGTTCAAAAGGAGACCCCGGTTTGCAAGGGCCCCCTGGCCAGGTGAGTTTCTATGTACACATACAGTACGCAAAGTACGTACAGTATTTACGATCCTGACTGAGTGAGTGACTGAAATAAATCCTAGTTAATTTCTAGATCGGTGCTTCCGAACCTGGGGTGAGATGCCCTTTCTGGGGTTTGGAGACATGTCCAGATATTTTTTATAGAAGGTAAATCATCGAAAAAACAAATTAAGCATGGCCACGTAAGTACAACTACTTTCTTTTATGAAACCCATGTCTTTATTAAGATTATACTTTTTTTTTACGATTGAGAACCAAAGGGGGGTGCCAGGCTGCAGTAAAAGTTTGAGAACCACTGTTCTAGATGGAATGCAAAGCTGAAATTTGGCACAAATATTGCTGCCAACGATCGCCCTCATCTCTCTGGTCCAGTATTCATATGTTTGGTACAAATTCAATTCACGATTGGGTCTCGAAACGTGTGGGAGGGCCTGGCGGAACAAAAAAAAAACCCAATTGTGCCAAGAGGCGAAGCACTCCGGCGCCCTTAACGGATGGGAATGAATCCAGTCGCGAGCCAGCAGACGGCGGACCTTGACACCTGTCGGTGGCGGAAACATTTGGAGGACGAGTGTGATCCACCAACCATCGCCTCCAGTGTGCCGCATTGCAGGCCTTGCGTGAACAATATCCTGTGCTTCTCCCAGGTTATTGGCCAACCACCTCCACATGGGTTTGGGTCCAAAGGTGACCCAGGATTCCCGGGCGCACCGGGAGACAAAGGAGAACCTGGTTTTACAGGTAAATGCATTGTCACAATGCATATTTCTTAACCCTTTCCCCGTTCTGAGACGTGTGCAAGTTGGAGGCTGGGCCCCCCGTTCACCGCCGAATCTGGGAATGCGCGAGCGGTCAGCGTTAGTTTTAACTTAGAGAGGCGTGGCGCCGTTGTTTTTAAAGATATTGTGCTCACCGCAGAGAACCGTAGTGACGCGACCGCAAGTCTGCGATATCTGGCGCCAAACTGTGCCACGCGCCCCTCTCGCGTGGAGTGGAATCGGAAGATCGGAAATGGGGTTTTTCACCAGCACAAAACAACCGCTAGCGTCGTCGCAGCGAATATAAGTAACGGAATGAATGAGCAAGCAAAATCTTTCTTTCACATTTTTTGCACCTTCACGTAAACAATAAAACGATGAAATTTCGATTTAAAGCTTTCGTGACTGCAGGGATTCATCTTCTTAGAAGGGAAATAATAAAAGAATAAAAATAAAACATAATAAAATTATTCTCACGACGTTTCGGCCAAAACGCAAGCAGCGGTCCTCAAGTGAAGAACAGGTAAGACAGTGTCATTCAGACAGTGTCATTTAGACACTGTCTTTTTTGACAGACCTGTTCTTCACCTGAGGACGGCTGCTTGCGTTGTGGCCGGAACGTCGTGAGAATAATTTTATTTTTATTATTTTATTATTTCCCTTCTACGTGACTTTACCGAAAGAACCAAGAAAAGAAAACGATTGCTTACACATCCCAACCACGCGGCCTTCTTATGTTCTCAACAGCAATGACAAAGACTGGGTTGTCAGTTTTCGTTCCTCCCTTTAGACTCGTCTTTTTTCAATAGCGTATCCCTCTCCTACTTTCTGTCCGCATCCTTAAAACCTTAACCATCCTCCCCCTTCCCCTTCCTAACCTCGCCACCCCCTCTTTCCCCATCATCACCCTTCCTTGCCATCCCTTCCCCTCCCCAACACTCAAACCCCATACCTTTTCCCGATCAGCCAATAACTAATGTACAATTTAAAATCATTGTAAAGCGCCTTGACAAAAGCGCTATATAAAATCTTAGATAACATATAATTTGGTTTTGTGTGAAACTAGGACCCATATTTAACAGAGATAGGGTCCTCGCCTATTGATATCTGACCTTTCACCAGCATTGGTTCAAGCGAGCCTGGCTAACGAGACGCCGGATGTCAAATCCCGCCCAGAGATTGCTGTTGTCGAATAATTGGCGCAAAAATTTCGCCCTATCAGAAGGACCTGTGTGGCTGATGTGATGTACTAAAAAAAGAATAGTTGTATTCTTTTGTACGTGGGAAGGGCAGGTGCATAAAGGAGGTGTGTTGCCTGACGATTTATTTTGTTACTGCCTTAACTGAGTAAATTTGCCACATCCACACCATTGGCATGAATGCCAAACTCTCGCGTGTGTGTTGCTTGTAAGCGCGAGGTTCATATGCACCACAGTCGCAAGAGACAATTAATTATCTTGACCCTGCAGGTGAGTGTAGCGGCCACTCGTGGCTGCAGGGTGGTCACGTGACCCCCGTTACATACATACGTGTGTGTGAATGATAAATGAATCAATTCCTCGACGCCGTGTTCAGTGCACGCATCACGACCTTTAATAGTCGACGCGAATCGACGAACCACTGCATCGATGCACCTCGAGTTTGGGTAAGTGACGTGGCCGAGTGGTGGCGCGTTTACCGGTTCCTTCGCAAAGGCCCGCAGTTTGAAACCGGCAGGCTGCCCTGGTTATTACCGCGGCGCGAGTCTCAACCGCACAAGCACGTGCCGTCTGCTTCGCGGTGAACGTGAAAGGATTCCGAGACGTCACTTGAATATAGCGGGCCATTGTGTGCTGGCGTCATGGTCCAAGTTTGGAAAAATTACTCCGCAAATTAATCAATTGGGATTACACAGAACAGATTGTGTACATGAATCATGGCAGCGCCTTTCTTCGTGATGATAGCCTTGCGCTATACGAACGGCGCTCATGCCAAATGTACATAATTGTTGTTATGATTGTGTTTGCGTGTGATTGCTGCCAGTAGTGATGCAAGGTTTTGAATTGCTGTTCTTATTCCATCTCAGGATCCACCTGGGTTGAACGGTGCACCGGGTCCCCCAGGTAACCATTCCTCTGAACGTTCCAGCACAGATTTCAAACATGCAAGCGCGCAATCTTCACATCATCTGCTTAAGATGCCAATATATACTTACGTTCTCGAAGTTTATTGGTGTGGTGGTGAGGATTTTCACCTCTTAAGGTTTAACAAAAAGAAAACCAGGATGCATGGGTTGAAGAATATCTCACGATACCAGGAGAAAGTAGAAGTACATCTGATCTGATAGAGTAATCTGAGATGACATGAGATCTCTCCACCACTGATGTTAAGGATAACATCAATGTGGTGTCGTGCGCTCATTACATGCACTCTCTTACCCTGTCTTCCTATTGCATCTTCTCCCCAATTCAGTCATGGTGCTGTGTACAACTGCATTTTTTTCGTCATCCTCCATAGATGATTTCAGCCCCATTGCTCACTGCAAACCACTTAGGGTTGGCACTTTTTCTTCCGCAAACCAAAACCCCAAACCTATGACCCTGAAAACTGTGCGGTATACTCCTGTAATGCAGCGCAAAGCAATGCCACCAGATGTCGGTGCGGATTAATTCCCTGCCGCACGAACACAGATGCCAATTCCTGGACTACGAGTGAGATCGTAATTAGCGTTGTCATTCTTGTTTTTTTTTTTCCTCCCGTCTTGATCTTTTTCCAAAGAAGCATCCCTCGATCAGCGCCTCCTTCAGCCATTTGCCGATCTAAAAAAAAGAAACAAATCGACTCATTAATTTTATTTAAGGTTACCAATTCAATTCTTGGCTGGGCTTTAACACAGCCCATCATCCCTCTGGGGGAGAGAAAATAGATACCACTTTGCTAGGGGAGTCAACAGTGGCTGTCCTATGGGATAGACTTGCGCCTGCCATTGGGGTGGGCATTTTCCACCACTGGCTCCGAGCTTTCACGACCAAACGAGCACCTTGTTGCTCGTTTGGTCACGACATTGCTTTGACTTTACAGTAAAACCTTGGAGTGCGAGTAACTTGGTTTGCGAGTGTTTTGTAAGACGAGCAAAAATTTGAAATAAATATTAATTTGATAAACGAGCGAGGTCTTGCAATACGAGTAGTACGTATACACTTGTCTGCCGAGCATCATGTGATCACAGCTGATGTACGAGTGCTTTGATATACGAGTGCTTTGGATTACAAATACGTTTCCAGAACGAATTATGCTCGCAATCCAAGGTTTGACTGTACTTTTTACCTCCTTTGTACTTTTTACCTCCTTCCTGTCCACACGGCTCACGGCTTTGAATGAGATATATGAAATCAAACGCGGGATTTTTTTTCCTTTCATGCCCCAGCTTAAGTAGATTCTAATGACCGAAATGTTGTTGTTCAGGTATCACGATACAGGGCCCTCTGGGGCCACCAGGGATTTCGGGAGAAAGGGGCCAGAAGGGTGACCCGGGACCCCCAGGACAAAGCTTCCCAGGGCAGCAGGGCCAGGATGGGCAGCCTGGGTCTCCTGGTCCACAGGGGCAGCCGGGTCTCCCTGGCGCCCCGGGTAAGCACGCAATCTTATTTGCATCATCTTTAATGTTTTCCGACAAAGGTTGAACGTGTGAATGGCTTTTGCTCTGTCTGTCTGTCTCTAACATGGGGTTAGGGGATGGCGGGGTACTGTAACTCTCCTAAAGATGATCCAATGTGAGTGAAACTTTAGTGTAAAGTTGCGGGGACTCTCGTCGTCATGGTGACCAATTGGACACCCAAGTATAGACAATGGTGATGAATGGTAAAAAAGCACGGCCCTTAAATTACCTGCTCAAGTCACTGCTGGTGGAAGGGCCTTCCAGAGAGGGAGCTATAGAGAGCCCCTCTATATAGCATGTTTGACGTACTCTTCAACGTTGGCCAGTGCGTCTTGAAAGCGGTGGGAGTTACCCACACTTAATGACACCGCATGCGACCTCCCAAATGACTAACTCTAGTGTTTAACCTGCCCCCATTGTTTCACTGGGAGATCGAATCAGCGACCAGAGATCGAACCAGGACCTCGGGATTGCAAGTCCAGTGCGCTGGACCATTGCGCCCGCAGGAGATCCCCTCGACTCTAATATCACTGCAGCAATGTGATCATTCCCGGCCACGGTTATAACCTCTGATGCAAATTATGTATATCGAAACCGGTTGAGTAACCTGTCGCGGCATGTAAACGTGAGCATTGGGGAGACGAAGGTGACCAGGGGGGGGGGGGGGGGGCAGGTTGTCATGTTGGCCATGCCAACCGCTTGTGCGCCGTGCCACCCTTAACAAGAGCTCGCTTGCCAGTGCTTCGATGGCTATGTATGCACTGTATGTTGAACTTCCTTCGCGGCGTACGCAGCCAACTGCGCTAGTCGGAGGTGGCCTTTGACTATGCTGGTGGTCATTGACTTTGTGTGTGTGTGTTTGTGTCTTGTGTGCGTATCATACGTCCTCATCGTTGCCAGCCGTGGTCACCCCTGGTCTTCCCGGGCGAGGATTACCAGGCCCGCCTGGCCCAATGGGACCGAAAGGCTTCTCTGGAGAGAGGGGACATAAAGGCAAGTGTCATCACCGCTACCGTTCATCATCGTGTGGTGGTTGGTTTGGTGGCCAAAACAAAACACCAGGTGTAGCCAATCCTGCCCAATGCTTGTGTAGTGTATGTACAGTTGAACTTATTTCGCACCGTACGTAGCAAACCGTGCTAATCGGATGTTTGGGGCAAGGACAACAAACGAACTCACGAAAAGCAGTTCTAAAGATGTGGGTTTGCAATTTAGAAAATGAGTTTTCAATTGTGGGTCCCACTGGCCTACTTAAGGCTCGTCCCCTCTAGTAACCAACAGGTTACCACAATATTGTCTGCATTGCTCACATGGCAATGCACACATCATGGTTGCTATTTGAACAAGGGGTTGTTCCTAGACCAGCTTTGTTTAAACATTTTCAGCTTAATAGAATCACACCTTTTATGACATCAATAGAAGTCGGTGATGATGATGATGATAAAAACATCTTTGAATTAATCAGTAGTTCTATCATAATATTGGCTGCGGAAACCTATGTGTTAAGTTCAACAAAATATTACATTTCACTTCCTTGAGAGTGCAGACCGATGCTGCTGTACGACAGGCGGGTACAGGAAGCGAACGGCCGGACAACGGAACTTACTCCCGCGCAATGTTTTTTCCCCCCGCGCATCTCTACAGGCGACAAAGGCGACACGTGCCGGGACTGTTTCGGAGGAGTGGGGCCCGGTCGCCCAGGGTTACAGGGACCTCCCGGTCCCCCTGGCATGCGAGGTTTCGACGGTACGTTTGCCGAAGCGAGAGGAGGCCGCCGCGCGCCGATCACCAGCGTCCCGTTTTTTTCTCCCTTGACGCTCTTTTTATTGCTACTGCCGCGGTCGGCGCCATCAGGAATATCACGCCACGCCTGAAACGTGCGAATCGCAGAACAACACTCACAGATGCAGTCTCGGTACAGACGATTCTGGCAAACCGCCTGATGAAGCTGGTTGTAATCACTGGCGAAACTTTATACTCAAATTTGTAAATGTTTTAGTGGGCTTACTCTCCCAATACACTGGTGTGCTGAAGTACTAACCAATTTGCACGTCTTGTTTACGTGACTAACCTTACTAATGGGCCATGTCGGGTGGTGGCGGGTTCACGACACATTTGTATTCACGCGATCTAACCTAAAAACACCTATATTATTAATATTTGTCGCAAAAGCCTCCTACTACTATGTGTTACACGGTCGGAACAGATGCAAACTGCACCTCTGCCGGGACCTGGCAGCAGACATGCCACCAGGTGCTGTCCCCTTCAGCCCAGAGGCTGCATCACCGCCATCTTGGATCATCCTTCTTGATTCTGGATGTGTCCCGCCCGGGCTGACAGCAGCCGATGTTACGTCCGGTGCCCAATTTGTAATCCTGCTGCAATGTTTTATATATATCATGTATAATGTTTGTATTTAAGCGAACATTGTGCTAAGCTTGTGTTTATTATGTTGAAGGTATTCAAGGTAACCCAGGCCTGAAGGGAGACAGAGGGTTTCCTGGCAACCCAGGATCTCCAGGTTCGCGAGTAAGTGTTTTAAGCTTCAATAAAGTAGTTTTATGTTTTTTTATACGAAACGTTTAGTGTTTACGTGAACACTGCTTGTGTGCACAGTCAAGTGTTCATTGGTTTCACTCGTGGGTGGTGCTGGCTCCATTGGAAGCCCAATGCAGATATTATTTCCGCCACCCAACCCACCAACACCTTTCAATATAAAAACTCAGTGTAAGATGGAACCCAAGAACCCCTTGATGAAGCCTGCAACAGGGCTGTGTGTACCACAGCCAATCGGTTGAAATGTGTTGGTGAACAAAATAATAATTCTACGTTTGTTCATTTTCAGCAATGGCCTTCAAATACAATCAAATTAAAAGTGAATGCTTGCCGCTCACTGTCTCCAAACAGGGATTTCCCGGGGAGTCAGGCCCCCAGGGGCCCCCAGGAATAAAAGGGGACCCTGGAGACGCACTGGGCCTGCCTGGGCTGAAGGGAGACAAGGGCGACTCGGGTTTCTCGGGTCTCCTGGGCCTGCTGGGCTTGAGGGTCGCCCTGGTGTGGACGGGCGGCCTGGGAACCCCGGTGCTAAGGGCGACCCTGTGAGTGCTCCCTTTGACGGCGATGACAAGTGACAGATGTTTTTGTGTTTCGTTCCAATTTGTGTTCTCGTGGTGACGACACGATTACCGCGGTTGGCTACATACGTTGCGAAAAGAAGTTCAACAATGACAACAACAACAACGAGATGAAATGTCCATTCGGAACGCTCGCAGAGCAGGGCTACGAATCTATCACAGAACTAGTTCTGTGAACTCTTGTAAGATATTTAGTTAATCCACAAAACCTCGGGAGCACACTTTCTCGCATGCCCTGCTGTAGAGAAATGTTTGTTACGTGGCAGTAATAGCAATAATTGTTTTAATTCTCAGAGTAAGTATTGTGGGGCCCTCCTGCAAAGAAGTTGGGTAAAATGTGAACAATATAATTGCTGCATTAAATGTGTTTGTCCACTCTTCAGGTCAGGTCAGGTCATGGCTCTATAAAAAGAAAAATCACACTTGCATTTTGGAAATGAAAGTATTCTTTGGTAAAGTCACGTAGGTATAAAATAAAATAAAATGTTACCTATGTGACTTTACCGAAAGAACTAAAGAGTATGGATCCCTGCAGTCACGAAAACTTCAAATCTAGATTGAAAGTATTCTTATCGAGGTTATGGTGTCACTGCTCATCCTTTTACCCCCGTCCAGATTGTCTCGCTCAAAGCTTGAGTGACAAAAAGAACGACTCTCCGATTAGCCACTCGTAAAGAAATGAAATATCGTCTCTCGCTCTGCCTGCCCGCGTGCTCGCCCAGGCTCCGTTTGGCGTGAAAGGCGAACGCGGCCCACCAGGAGACCATGGCCAGGCCGGCCTGTCTGGGGAGAGAGGGCAGCCTGGCTTGCCTGGTTTCGGGCCCCCAGGATACCAGGGGATGAAGGGAGTCCAAGGGGTGCCTGGTCGATCCGGCCCGCCCGGCCCACCAGGTCAGCCATGCCGTTGCCTTTTTGACCCCGTGTCTGTGTTTTTTCTCCCCCGCTGTTTTCTTACGTAGATTTATATCGCAGCATCGTAGATTAATATCGCAGCGTATTGGTTATGAAGAGTTTGGGTTTCGATTTAAAGCTTTCGTGACTGCAGGGATTCATCTTCTTGGTTCTTTCGGTAAAGTCACGTAGAAGGGAAGTAATAAAATAATAAAAATAAAACATAATAAAATAAAATAATATAATTATTTTATTTTATGATGTTTTATTTTTATTATTTTTAAAATAAAACATAATAAAATAAAATAATATAATTATTTTATTTTATGATGTTTTATTTTTATTATTTTATTACTTCCCTTCTACGTGACTTTACCGAAAGAACCAAGAAGAAGAGTTTGGGTTATTAAAAGTGGGTGGTGGAGCTATGGTGACAGTAAGGAGAACAGGTGGGAGGGGTTCGGGTAGAAGTAGTGATAGGGCTTGGGGTAGTGATAGGGGTAGTGATAGGGGTAGGGGTAGTGATAGGGGTAGGGGTCATGATAAGGGTTGGGTAGTGATCAGGGTTGGGGTAGTGATAGGGGTTGGGGTAGTGATCAGGGTTGGGGTAGTGATGATAAGGGTTGGGGTATTGATCAGGGTTGGGCTAGTGATGATAGGGGTTGGGGTAATGATCAGGGTTGGGGTAGTGATAAGGGTAGGGGTAGTGATCAGGGTTGGGGTAGTGATCAGGGTTGGGCTAGTGATGATAGGGGTTGGGGTAATGATCAGGGTTGGGGTAGTGATGATAGGGGCTGGGGTAGTGATCAGGGTTGTGGTAGTGATAGGGGTTGGGGTAGTGATAGGGGTAGTGATAGGGGTAGTGATAATGGTAGTGATAGGGGTAGTGATAGGGGTTGGGGTATTGAAAGGGGTAGGAATAGTGATCAGGGTTGGGGTAGTGATCAGGGTTGGGGTAGTGATAGTGATAGGGGTAGTGATAGGGGTAGGGGTAGTGATAGGGGTTGGGGTAGTGATAGGGGTAGGGGTAGTGATAGGGGTAGTGATAGGGGTTGGGGTATTGAAAGGGGTAGGAATAGTGGTCAGGGTACAGGTAGTGGTCAGGGTTGTGGTAGTGATAGGGGTTGGGGTAGACCTCTGGTTGTAGCTGAGGAGCCGGGGCACGAAGTAGCAGTATGGTGGGGAAGGAAGAAAAGATAGGTAGTCGTATAGGAGGAACAGAAGCCATTGAGTGACGATGATGGCTTCATGTGCAGTGGGAGTTTAGAGGCGTTGTGCTCTCAGCGTCATGCAGCGAGACACAGTGTCCATTCTTATCTCTCACAGGGCAGTGCATCAAGGCCGTAGCCATGGAGTCAACATTGGGGGGACCAAATCGTCCAGGGGGTCTGGGGGTCCCCCCCTCCCCCAGAAAAAAAATCTAAATTTGAAAACGAATTTTCTTCCATTTCCTGCCTAAAATATTTAAAAAAATTCACTAACACATAGGATGGACTTTTTATTTATTTTTTACAATAATGTCTAATAGTGTATTGTATTACATTGCTATGTTTTTTTCTTTTTTACCTTTTCTTGTTTCATTGTATGTAATGGCAGAGATTAGGGATTAATAAAGTACAACCATAACCACAATCATTTCAACAGACATCTATTTGATAGCAATACATTTGGGGGGACATTTTGAGCATATTTTAATATTGGGGGGATGTGTCCCCCCCCCCCCCGATATTTATTAAAATTACGGCCTTGCAGTGCATGCTTAACCAGGCGAGAGACTGGGATAGAGTTGCATTTACAAAAGCATAATAATTACCTGAACTAAAGCAGTGGACAAAATATAAATCGCAACTGTGTCATATGAGAAATGAAAAATATTGCACTGTTATGAAATAAACTCCCTGCAGCACAAGTTGGCTCGGTCATCATTATATTTTTTATAGTGATCATAGTATAATTAAGTTACGGAAAAACAGGTTTGGCTACTGTTTGTAATATGCAAACGGACACGGATGTATGTGATATGTAATTGCTGTTGTTCTAATCTGTGGAACTGACCCTGGATTTTGAATCCCACTTAGGTGTGAAGGGGGAGCCGGGAAAGACAATGTCGGAGCCAGGACAACCTGGACCTCCTGGTTTGCCTGGATCACATGGATCCCCTGGCTCTCCAGGTGAGCGAGAGTCCCTCTGATTTCCCATGGTCTCGCACGACACCTTGGTTCTACACTTGGGCTCCGTTTGCACCGACTCGTGACTTGTGTATCACCACATCTCGGAAACTAGGCCGGTTTGAGCCTGGATGGTGCTCGAACGAGTGATCTCCACGAACGCCGTAGGTGGCTGCCCGGCTGTGCCACGTGGAGTTAAGCAGAGGAGGCAGTGCAGCAAAATTCCTTTGTTGTACTGTGATTCTATGCCCCCACATCTATGCTCCCCACCACCGCGCCTCCGGTTAGCACCGCTGGCTTCGTACGGTGCGAAAGAAGTTCAACATAAATACATGTCACCAACCCGCGCCGAACAGCACGATGAAGTAGGCTCGCATCACCCTCGCTACCCGCGCGGCGTGAGAAGGCCATCATCCAGCAGTGGATTGGCACGTATTCGCACCGCCACAAGGAGTGCTCGGGCCGGCAGCAGAGAGACCTGACGTCTATCCTAATGCAGAGGTCGCGTGGTGCGCCTTGATTTGGCTCCCAGCTGGAGACCGATCGCGACCCGGGAGTTCTGTTTTCATCCCGGCGTCCTTGAACGTCGGCTCATTCCATTGGCACGTAGCTGCTGCGCTCATATTTTCCGGGGAATAATAAAGGTTTTTGGGTTTGATCGCGTAAACATAAATTCGTCGTCAACCCGCCAACGCCTGACACAGCCAACCAGTAAGGTTTGTCACGGAAACAAAACGTACCAATTAGTTACTACTTCAGCCCACCGGTGTGTTGGAGAGTAAATCCACAACATTTACGATTTGAGTGCGAAGTTTTGCTGGTAACGACATCCAGCATCATCAGGCGATTTTGCCACAATTGTGACAAACCTTACGCGATTTAACCCCCCCCCCCCCCAAAAAAAAAACCCCGCATTATGAATCATATTAGTCCTCAAAAGCCGCCAACGTATCAAACTACCCTCCGGGCGTCCGATCAGTCCCTCGTCACAAGTTCTGTTCGGCGCTAAGACGTGGCACCGTCCAGTTTGGGTGCATCTCTCGAGCGTGTAGGCCGGAGCGCCTGCACACCGCGGAGGGTAGGGGCTGGTGCCATGTCGCTGTACATGCCATTGCTCTCGCGTGAGTTCACGGTTTTCGCCTTCCGCTCTACAGGCAGCTCGGGCATCCCTGGGTCCGCTGGATTGCCAGGGTTGCAAGGGGCGAAAGGCGACGCGGGCCTGCCGGGATTTGGATCTCCTGGACCATCCGGTCCGAAGGGTAGGACTTCCAAAAACAGTTTCTCTCTCCCCCGTGTCTCGCTTTCTCTCTCTCTCACGCCATGTGTTTCTCTCACTGTGTGTTCTCAATCTTTGCTGTCACTCTCTCTCTCTCTGATGAAGCTGGTTGTAGTAATCTTTGCTACTCTTAGGTTTTTTCGGTAAAGCCATGTAAGTAAAATAAAAAAAAATAGAAATAATAGAAATACAATTATAAATCGCAACGTTTCAGAGGCAACACAAGTCTCCGTCATCAGGTGGGACCGTCACAGCGGCTTTCTATTATTTATATTTTTTATTTTTACCTACGTGATTTTACCGAAAAAACCTAAGAGTATGAATCCTTGAAGTCACGAAAGCTTCAAATCTAGAAGAAATCTTTGCTGTCACTTTCTCTCTGATGTAGCTGGTTGTAGTAATCTTTGCTGTCTCTCTCTTCCTCCTTCTCCTTGTGCTCAATCCACACTTTTGCTCTTTTCAAATCCTTTATATTAAGTTCACTTGCTTGCTTGCGCGCTTACGGCCGTGCAAATCTTTCGGTCGTTTTTTAACCCACTTCCCGTGATCCATTCGAGCTGATATTTTGCACACAGACTCGTTGTGCGTGACAATTTATTTTCGTGAAAACTTTTTTTTTCAAAATTTTACACTTTTTAGGAAAAAAAAATTATATTTAATTACCAATTGCTTAATGGTGGCAGGCAATCATCTGGCCCATAGGTGACAGTCATCTCAAGCCAGAGGACGAGAGGACTCTAGCCGCCACGCATATAAAGGATTTATAGTGAAAAACTTTGTTTTTACGGGTTAATATTTTCTATTCTCGCCCCAATCTTTCACTGGAACAAACTTCCCTCTCCACATTGAGCAGTCACCTTCGCTCACTAATTTCCGCTCCGCACTAAAAACTCACTTATTGTTACCCCTAGCTTACCCCACGACCCCCTTAATCTCTCCCTCATAACCGCTACCCTCTTCATATTTCCATTATACGGCTTTCACTCATTAACGCCCGTTCATTCAATCCATTAATCATCGTTAACTGTCATCAATTTCGCTTTCACCGAATTCACGCATCATCACAGACTCGCCCCCATTGCTTCCTCTTATCAATTTCTTTCACCTCATCCTCCACCGTTACATTCATACGTTGTACCGTTGTTAATTCCTTGTAAAGCGCCTCGGTCAAGGCGCAATATCAATTCCTTTAAGATGAGATGAGATCTCCCCGAGTCTCTCAGCAGTCAGTGCACTGCACCATGACACCGGAAATCGACGTCGCCAGTGCGATGCCAGCCCACAGCTCACGTTGGTGACACGTGGTCATTCTGCCACCCCCCTTTTAACAATCCGCACAGACTAGCACGGTGAAGTGTGATCAAACAACCACAATCACCGACATGGTGCGAGGGGGCATTCATCCAGCAGTGGAATGCCAAAGGGCTTTAGGATATTATTTATATATTTATCTATTTATTGATTATTATGCTTGTTTATAGAAGTACGCCTCATTGAATCTCAAGCAAGCAAACACAGATATATAAACTTCATATTTATATAAAAAAATAAGGCTCTGTATTAAAAAAAATGCAGTGTATTTTTTCTGGTAAATATCAATAAAGTATCAATTTTCGGGGTTTAAGTGGGGGGGGGGGACATTCCGTACACCTTCATAGCCACCCCCACCCCTCTCCACCACTGAGTCTCAAGGCAAATTTTCACGAGGTTCCTGCGAAGTTTTCGCAGAGAAGGGAGGCGGACGATTGCTCTGTGTATCCCCAATAATCTCATTTGTAATGGCCGTGTCTGCGTACTCTGCAGGTAACCAAGGCAACCCAGGGTTGCCAGGACAGCCAGGAGGATCTGGGCGCCCCGGACAAGACGGATTCCCGGGGAGCCCCGGACAGCCCGGACTAAAGGTGAACTGTGACGGACACGTGCCAAGCGAGAGCAGATCAACACGGATAAGAGGATATGTTTTCTGCTGCCTTCTGGTGTAAATGCGTTCCTGAAAAGTGCCGTGTAAGACAAAAAACTACGCAAGATATTAATTCAAAATTATATGTTTTACTACCCGTGGGATCCGGCCCCACCAGTCCGTAACGATGAACGACCATCTCACCGCTCTACCTTTGCGTCCGCGTCGTTGTCCCCTCACAGGGTGATGGAGGCGTTGGTTCCCCGGGCCCCCGTGGGCCTCCGGGATCTCCTGGCCTCGACGGACTGTCCGGTTCCAAGGGAGACAGCGGCTTCCCCGGCCTGCCGGGGCAACCGGGCAGGCCAGGTCTCGACGGCGTGCCGGGAACCAAGGGTACGCAGACCACCGTGCTCGCTAGAGTCGCCAGGGGGTCTTTGTGGCCTGAGTACAGAGCGACTTGCGAAATCCTAGGAAGTGGCGCAAGTTCGGTTGAAGACAAGACATGTCATCGCTCCGGTTGGATTGGAGAGTTAAGGCAATTGCAGCGTCATCAAGCTGGGGAGAGAACTATGGGGTGGTCGTGACCGCTCACTCGTGCGCCAATTGTCAAAGTCAAAAAAACAATAACTGATAATAAAAAAACAAGACATAATCGATGGCACGATTAATTATACATAATTCATTATTGGTAACATTAACAATGCTACTGGTGAACTTGCGCTCTCATTTTTTGGGACATTACAACTGAAGGTGTTATATCAATATATATATTTCAGTTGTAAAGTGGTGCTGCAGGGTAGATTGGTGGTGCACCGGTTAGCGTGCCTCACCGCGCTACCCCGGCAAATCTGACTTTTTGACGGCTGGCTCATGGCTCCCAACATGGACGCATGCGGCCTCCTTGTCACCGGGGCTGGTGGGTGCCCTCGCTCACCAAGTCGGCACGATGTGAAGGTCATGGGTCAATCAACCGCCGCAAACAGCGTGGAAAATGGGCGCGGCTTTCATCCCACGGTGGATGGACAGAGTGCTGTGAACGACAGGGGTTCTCTGTGTTTGTGTTAAGGCCATGTCTGTCCAGTGCTCGCTGAGCTGCAGTGACTGCCATTATAAATTCGCACTCATTACACCACCAAACTTCTTGCCACAAATGAACCACAATACCTTGTTGATATCGTCAAGGAATATAAACATTACGCAAACTCTGCTCATCTTCGCAGCGGCTTTTGGCTAACCATCGAACAAAGACGGTCATTGCATCGCACGCTTTCAGATGCGCTTTTGCGGCCCGTCTGGAATGCTCTTCCTTCCGATATTAGGACGCCACTGGGAGACATGCGCCGTTAAGTCCTTGTTTGAAAACTCAGTTCTTTAAAACTGCTTTTGGTGTATCATTTGTTGTCCTTCCCCCGCACCTGCGAAAGAGGTTCAACGTACGTACATACAAGGCAGTGTGTTTTCACGCTGCCTTGTATGTGCGTCCACTGGCCCTATGCAGTAGACAGCACTCGGGCCCGTTGCAGACGTCTCGAATAGCACGTTTTGGCTACGTGCCGTCAGAAAAGATGTTCACCGTACATACACACGCGCATGCAAACGTCTCGTCTCTTATTCCCGTAGGAGACGCCGGGAATCCGGGATTGCCCGGTCGCCCGGGAGCCCAGGGCCCCCCTGGACAGGGATTCCCAGGAGCTCAAGGTCCCCCAGGACCTCCGGGACAAGTTGGACCTGAAGGTGACAATTTCCGCACTGACAATTATGAGAATGATGATGGTGGTTATGATGATGCTTCCAAGAGTAATGCTGCTTATTATAATGATGATGGCATTCATGGTAATGATGACAATGGTTATTATTATGATTATGATGACAATCCTGGAAAAATGATGATTTTCATGATAAGAATGATGATTTTCATGATGACAACACTCGTGATGATTATGAAGATGCTTACAAAGGCAATAGTGGTGATAATAACTAGGATGACAGTGACACATGCAATGATGCTTATCGGCAATAATGAGGATGGTTACAATTATTATGATAATGCCGTTCATGATGATGGCAATGATGTTTGCGATGGAAACGTTTATCGCTATGACGATGGTTATGAACGGCGATAACAATGAATGTAATCGTTTAGTCATTTAACCGGGTGAGAACTCAAGAAACCAGGATTGTATAATATGCAAGAGTGACCTGAATGACGATTGATGATGACGATCGATGTGCATGACCAGGTTCACTAGGGTCGAAGGGAGACAAGGGAGACTACGGAGCCCCAGGATTGAACATGCCGGGACCTCCGGGAGACAGGGGCAACCCTGGTTTCCCCGGCACACCCGGTGGCATTGGATCACCAGGATCGCCGGGACAGCCGGGAAGGAATGGCTTCCCAGGCACACCAGGCAAGGCTTCCCCCCTTCTCCGTGAAATTTTGCTCGGCTATTTCACCACCCGTGTAGAGGACTCGGGAAGTCAACCCGCGTCTGTTCTTGCCTTCAATCGCGGCCCTCTCTTGCGACCGCTGACAGGGTTGAACGTTTCACGTGAACCCACCGTGCCCGCCGCTTTTCCCCCGTACGTCGCCGTTGTTTCATGCAAGCTGCCTCGGACCACTTGTTCCCGTTGTGGACGCGGTGTGGATGTGCGTGACGGTGCGCGCACGTGGACCACCGTGTAGGTCGCACGTTTTTGTAGATGTGGGGTATACGGGTACCCCTCGCTTTACGCTATTCGGTTTGTGCGATTTCGCACCGTATATGCGGCTGGAACCTGTTTCTATCCAAAATTCGTATTGTTATGCAGTTTGGATTCACTTTGCGTTCAGATATACGGTCGGACGCAGGACATTGTAGACTCGGTGCACTGCTCGGCAGGCAGCTGTCCCATCTGGTGCATTGTGGGTTGGCTTACTGTGCGGTCCACGCAATGCAATTACGTTTTGTGTGCACCCTCTTTTTGGAATGCATTTATCGCATAAAACAAGGGGCATCTGTACGTGTCATTACGCGTGCACTTTGTGTCACCTGACAATATTTCTTATTTCGATTTCCGAGTTCATTGCCTGATGACGCTCGAAACGAATCGTCGGCATCGTTCGTTGCCGTTGAAAAGTTTCAGGCCAGCGGTGTGGAGGAGTAGCTTTATCGGTCGTAATTTGATCGATGCGTCGGCCATGTCTTAGAATGAGACATTAGTGGAAGGCGCCATACAAGTCATTGTAAATTATTATAATAATTATTAAATTGCATCTCTGTAAACGTGGAGGCATAACGACGAAGAATTTTGGATATAAAACCACAGCTTGGTCGAAAACCTACTTTGAAAAAACCTGTGTATAAATTTCGATTTAAAGTTTTCGTGACTGCAGGGATTCATCTTCTTGGTTCTTTCGGTAAAGTCACGTAGAAGGGAAATAATAAAATAATAAAAATATAACATAATAAAATAATTCTCACGACGTTTCGGCCACAACGCAAGCAGCCGTCCTCAGGTGAAGAACAGGTCTGTGCGTTGTGGCCGAAGCGTCGTGAGAATTACCTGTGTATAAAGTTGAACGACTTTAACAAATGGATACGTCCCGTGTTGTTTTCTAGGTTCCAAAGGAGACATGGGAGTCATGGGGACACCTGGGTCCTCTGGTCCTCCTGGTCCTTTTGGGCAGATCGGCCCACCGGGACCCAGAGGTAGGCCTTAGTTGCACAATATTTGTAGAATGTGGACTCCAGGATCAGAATTCTATGTATTAGTTGGACCTAAAGGTGTGATAAAAATACAACTCAAATCGCAATTTCTCTTTCCCCTGGGGGGAGGAGCTCAATTATTATTTAATATTTTGACCCCAGAGTCAAAATTCTATTGGGGGTCAAATGTTATCTCCCATTTACATACATAAAACTTTAAACAAACTATTAAACACCACATTAAATGTCACCCACAATCCCTTCCATATGGCTGATGCAAATCCATCAAGCAATTGTGGTTTCTGTGTGCGTGTGTGTAACTCACGACCAGTGGGGAGCGGTAGTGTCGCGGTTAGCGCTGTGCTACAAACCCAGAGACCCGAGTCCGATTCCTGCTCACGGGCAACACCAGTGACGATTATCTGAACTGGTCCTGGGCCTCCCCTAGGACGACTCAGCCTCAAATGAACACCTGGTGCAGTGCGTAAAAAACACTGCCGCTGGGGAGACAAAGGCGGCCGGGCGTGGTGTTCGCCACCCACCCCCTGCGTATGCCATGCCGGCCTTCACAGGTGCTGCTCACTAACGGCACTTGCCTCAACAGCCTGTTACAGGCCACACCACGGGGGTGGGGGGGAGAGGGGTCTTTGTTTTGTGCTGTGTACCGCACTATGAGTCTGATAGCTGGTAACCGTGGTGATGCGGCACGTGTGTGTTGTGTTCTGGCCGCGCTGTGCGATCTTCACAGGCAACGAGGGGCAGCCTGGCCTGCCGGGTGAACCGGGCGACTTGGGCTTCAAGGGAAACAAAGGCGATCCTGGCATCCCCGGCCCATCCGTCCCCATTGGCACTGTGACAACGAAGGGAGAGAAGGGAGATAAAGGGTCTGGTGGTGAGTGATATAGCATAACGACGATGGTGACGACAACACGATGACGATGATGTCGACAATGTGTGTGTATACATGATAATTTAAACCTTCAATGCACCGGCACAGTTATCCACTTGCGAATGACCTGGGCACCACAGACAAGCCAGGAAGGCTGCAAAGGCGACAAATGATGTGCCATGTATGTGCAACGGAGAAGGATCATCGCCTGTTAGTTATTTTTCAATTGAAGGCCGCAGCGTCATTGACGAATGAGCTGAGTTGTATCTTCTTCAGTTGTGCCCAGCCCCCCCCCCCCCCCCCCTCTGATCTATACCTCCGCAGCACCTCCCCTCTGTTCCTACAGCCCCGCTGTTGTCTGGTGGAATGAGACACCAAAAAGTCAACGGTCTTATGTTGCATATGTACACGTCCTTGTGCCAGTGCCAAAGCGACTTGCTAATTTCTCACGCTGGTGCTTTGTAGGTACTCCTGGCATGCCAGGCCCTAAGGGATTCCAAGGACTGCCTGGCAGCAATGGGCAGCCTGGTCAGGCGGGTCTTCCCGGGACACATGGCCAGTCAGGTAAGATCACTACCGAGCACGGGCCGAGTGTCTCGCGGTGCGGCAGAGCCGTAGCCGAGTGGGTTAACACGATGGTGAAATATACCAATAGGGTTTTTCCCCTTTTTTTCTGGCAACAAAACTGACACTTCTTGCAAGGAATCATGCTTACATTAACCACAATACTTGCAGTCAAATGCAAACAAAAAACAATACTCTGATCATTTATGCGTTGTCTTTGAAACTGATTGGTCCACACCAGAGACAGCTTTCTTTAGAGCCTAGTCTCATATGGTGTTCGACCAGATGACGCCAACAGGCGCACAGTTCAAAGACAACGCACTACCAGAGTAATGAGAGCTCGGGGTGAGCAGCTATATCATGGGACCTCCTTTGCCAGTACCAAAATATACTAATAGGGGTTTTCCCCTTTTTTCTGGCAACAAAATTGACACCTTTTGCAAGGAATCATGCTTACATTAACCACAATACTTGCAGTCAAATGCAAACAAAAAACAATACTCTGATAATTTATGCTTTGTCTTTGAAACTGATTGGTCCACACCAGAGACAACTTTATTTAGAGCCTAGTCTCATATGGTGTTCGACCAGATGACGCCAAAAGGCGCATAGTTCAAAGACAACGCACTACCAGAGTGATGATGGTGAAAGTTAACAGCGCGAGGTGCGTGGGGTTTACCAACCCCCCCCCCCCCTGCCACCGAACTTTTTAAGGTCACCCCGTCGGCTACGGTGCCTGCGTATTGTCGCGCACGTATTCGATTGATAGTGAAAAAAAACTAAAATAACGTGTCAAGAGTAGTATGTACTTCCGGCTGTGCCGGCATCATAGTTGACATTACTCTTTTCAGATTTTACATCGCAATCATCGCCCATCCCCCCGCCCTCCCCTGCACCTACTGTAAAAACATGCCAAGACCCTCGTGAAAAAGAGTCATAAAAAAAAGACGAGGTCCACTGAGTTTAACTATGACTAACTAGTTATGACTAACTAGTTATGACTAACTGGGTGACCGGTTGCCAGCAGCGTGGACGAGCGAAACAAGTTTATTTTACCGAAGTACAAAACCTTGAATTTTTTGATAATTGGTTTTTTAACCTTTTATCTGGCAACAAAACTGTAAAAAATAGGAGTCAGTTTTGTTACCAGATAAAAGGGTAAAAAAACAATTATCATATTTTTTGTTCCGGCAAATGAGGTTCCAATGGTGTAAATGCTTACCCTAGCTCTCATACTCTGATGGTGCATTGTCTTTGAGTTGTGCGCCTTTTGGCGTCATCTGGTCCAACACCATGTGAGACTAGGCTCTAAGGAAAGCTGTCTCGGGTGTGGACCAATCAACTTCAAGGACAGTGCACACATTATCAGAGTTATGTTTTTTTTGCATTATGACTGCAGGTATTGTGGTCTATGCAAACATGACTCCTTGTAAAAAAAAGGTGTCAGTTTTGTTGCCAGATAAAAGGGTAAAAAAACAATTATCATATTTTTGCTTCTGGCAAATGAGGTTCCAATGGTCTAAATGCTTGAATTTTTTTGTTATCAAAGGGGGTCACTTAAAGGCAGTTGTGCCTGTGTGACGCAAGATGCGTGCGGCAGCGGCCTGAAAGTGAGCATTCGACTGCCAGTCAGTGGCAAAGTTGCTATTGGTTTTACCTTTTAGATTACAAAAAATATTCTGCAAACACGTATATCTTCTGACACTTTGGATGGCATTGACCCAGTACGATCTTCTTAAATCCAGTGAATGTGTTCAGTGGGTATTCCCCTTTAACTCTGTTTGAAATATATACAAAACAATTCCTGTACGGTATTGCTTTGTATCGCATTTGCATCCAACCACATCGTATGCTTATTTGTGCATTAAAACATCCATTTTATACTCTCTCTCCTTATTTTACAGCGTAGTACAACGTCACATATCTGACAGTCACGTATCCGTCCTGACCAATTAACCGCCCCCCTCCCCACTGAACCAGTGCGGTATATGCACGTGGTAGAATTATTTAGCTGTTGACAGATGTGACCTTTTCACATACAGTCATGCATTCTTAATATCACGTTCATTTTCTCGATCATTTGTCCGGTCCCAGAGATATAACTGCTCAAAGCGAGTTACTAATCCTTTGGTATTTGCATTGCCGTTGTGCTGTATGCCTTTTTTGCATTCTCTGATCGAACACTGGTGATCCAATGCCATAGAGGAGGCTGTCCCTGGTGTAGGCCAACCCGTTTCAAAGACAATGCATACATTATTAAAGGACATTTCTTTGCACGTTTTACCACAAGGATGTGTGGCTAATGAAACCTTGATGCCTTGCAACAGATGTCTATTTGGTGTTTGAACATCTTAACACCTTTCTTTTTTGCCAGAAAGGGTAAAGCCTCTTCCTTTTTCATCGTATGTCTGCGTGTCGTGTGACTGGAAGATGACGAACTTCTCTGGTGGCGAGGCCACGGTCTTACAGGACAGGACGCGCGGATGCCACTGATAATGCACGTCCGCTTTTGCACAGGTCCCAAAGGAGATTCTGGATTCCCAGGCACTCCTGGTCAACCTGGGCAGCCGGGTCCCAAGGGCTCCATGGGAGAGATGGGCTTACCAGGTATTTAACAGGAATATCAAGGATCCCAAATACCTCTTCCCCATTGCTTGTCTGTCAGTCGATCTGTCTGCCTGTCTGTAACACGCGGGTTGTGATAACTGTTGAGATGTGAATATAAAGTTGTGTTGCTATATTAGGGACTTACCCGATAGATAACTGGCAAAATAATCTTGGGCTTTTTTCGGTAAAGTCACGTAGGTAAAAAATATAAATAATAGAATTAAAATAGAAATAGAATATTGTGATTTATTATTTTATTTCTATTGTTACTTCTATTATTTTTATTTTTTACCTACATGACTTCACCGAACAAAGCCTAAGAGTATGAATCCTTGCAGTCACAAAAGCTTCAAATCTAGAACTGGCAAAATATATTGACACGTTTCCAAAACCTTGGCATAAAAAAAAACCCCAGTGCCAAATGGAAAGTCTTTTCGGCCAAGGCCTTGTGCAAGCCACGCCAATCCCTGCGACGTTGTCACGTGCGACGTAATGATGCGTGACGTCATCTGCCGACATCACACCTCATGTGACGTCATTTAATTTGCACGCCTCGGGAGGTAAAGCGATAACGGCAATTGCAGTACTTCCGAGGGCAAAATGCATCTCAGAAAGCCTCACAGAATCCATTTCTGTGCTTGATTAAATTTTTCCCGAACTTTGTTTTGTTATGTGTACAGGTCCTCCTGGTTCAAAGGGCATTCCGGGCAACCCAGGTCTTCAGGGTTCCCCAGGATCTCCTGGATTCTCTGGCATGAAAGGAGCTAAGGGCGAGTCTGCCCAGCCAGGCCAAGGAATTCCTGGACCACCTGGCCTCAAGGTGTTTTATGTCATTTTCAACACAAGAACGGTTTCACCTTTTTCTCAATTTGGTTCCAATTGTGCTAACCCGGATCGTGCCATTTGGAACTCTGTGCAGAGAAGTGAAAATGCGAGTGTTGGGGAACGGTTCCTCGGAAGGGGAAGTCACAGAACTGTTTCCTGAGTTTCCGTAAAGTGACAAGTTTTTTGTTCACACGCTAAGCGCACGCACATGCCCTGTTGCGGGAAGAATGTTTCATTCCCACAGATTTAATCCTCGCGAGTTGGAATTTAGCCTAATCGAGTGAATAATGGAACGTAATGTGACCTTCGTGTGTTCAGTCGCTGCTCACCGGGTCGAGACCATCAACTCACTCAACTTGAAAAACCCAGTAAAATCACAGGCAGTGGCTTAGACCCTGGAGTCAAGCCCAGCATCTCAGCAATGCCGGCTCAGTGTTCTGATCTCTGATATATTCGGCCACCTCTGTTCAATTTCCTGTAGTCCAGCACTGTGGAGGCAGAGCCCCCACTCTTGGGTCAGTAGGTGCCAGGTTGTTTTTCTACTTCAGAGGCCAAGCCATGCCGCTATCGTCGCACACGGTGGTGCACGTATGTACGTATGTTGAACTTCACGCCAACTGTGCTAATCGGAGTGTCTCGATAGCTTGGCGACGCTGTATCCTCGCCGATGTCAGACACTGAAATCACATTGTTCAACCATCCCTGTACCTGCCTGGCCTCCGAGGCAGCTTGAGATGGTCTCGTGGGAGCCAACATACCGTGGTTTGGTCAGGGCTCAACACGGACAATAGCTAGTGGAAAACCATACTCATATTTTTTTCGGTAAAGTCACATAGGTAAAAAAATGAAATTAAAATGAATAAAAATCAAATAATAATTTTAATTTCATTTTTTTACTTACGTGACTTTACCGAAAAAAACTAAGAGTATGAATCCTTGCAGTCACGAAAGCTTCAAATCTAGAATTAGTGGAAAATCACCCATATGGCTCGGGTGTGCCAGTGGAAAAGGGATACCACTCCCCCATATGGAAGAGGCCATCCTGCCGTGCGTCCCATCTCTCACATTCAAAGCTGGCTGGGTTACCAAGGCCGGATTTGAGAAGTACTGCTGTACAAAATGCAGGCTGCATCCACCCGGTGCTCTCCTTGAGTCAACCAAGCATTCGCTCATGTGTAATCATTTCTATTGCGACTTTCTCTTCTTCGACAGGGTGATGTAGGGAGCCCTGGCTTCAATGGACCACCTGGACAGAAAGGTTCCCCAGGAACTCCTGGCCTTCCTGGGCTTCCCGGCAATCCGGGTTCAAAGGGAGAATCTGGGCAGCCAGGATTCCCAGGTAATTTTGAGAGAAATCTGGCCGGTGCTTAGCAGGAGAGCGCCACTCGGTGGGTAGTTAACAGTCGTTATCCTATAGACCAGCGGTCGGGAACCTATGGCTCGCGAGCCATATATGGCTCTTCCAGTGACGGCATATGGCTCCCAGACAATTTTGAGTTGAAAAAAAATAAAAATCGGTTTGGAACTGATTTTAAAATACTTGTGATATTGCTTAATAATACTGTGTCATTTTAAAGTAAACAGAAATTAGTTTTGAAGATACAATTTCTCGGGTCACGGGTCCCGTGACCAGAAGTCGCATTAAAGACATATTTAATTTATTATACGTTAAAAATACTATATGGCTCTCAATGAAATATATTTAGAACTATTTGGCTTTTATGGCTCTCCCAGTCAAAAAGGTTCCCGACCCTGGTATAGACAGATTCTAACCCCCCCCCTCTCCGCCAAACAATGTGGTAACTCAGGTGAAGAACAGGTCTGTCGGAAAGACAGCGTCTGAAGACGTCTGAAGACACTGTCTTTCCGACAGACCTGTTTCTTCACCTGGGGACGGCTGCTTGCGTTGTGGCCGAAACAGTCGTGAGAATTATTTTATTATGTTTTATTTTTATTATTTTATTATTTCCCTTCTCCGTGACTTTACCGAAAGAACCAAGAAGATGAATCCCTGCAGTCACGAAAGCTTTAAATCGAAATTTAAATGTGGTAACTCCACCACAGGGTTGTAAACATGACATCAACGCTGACCCTCGGTGGACATTTGAGCAGAATATCCCCTGGAGTCCAGTACTCTGGTCACGGCACGTACCGTAAAAACAATGCTCGGTAACGATGAGAATTAGTATTTATAGGGCACTTTAAATGCCTCAGCAACTCGAAGTTCCTTGCATCCCAGCTCATCTCAACCATTCTAAAGCTATCCTGCCGTCTAGCTGAGGGACCCACCAGTAGAAACTGTCCCTTTTGCGGCCCAAAGCACTGGGCATTATTATTCTATCAGTAGAGGGCGATGTTGAAATGTGTTTTTTTTTCACAATGAAGCAATCTTTTCAAAATTGGCAAATTTGGGCCATCATGCTGGCATACATGGCCTATAATCAGCAACAGATTGTATACGATGATTGCCAACAGTGGAGAGAACTGCTTTTGGGAATTTCATGGATCCAACGACCTCTGTAAAGCGGTTAGATGGGAAGAAGAGATTAATGCTCTGTGTATCGTCTTGTGTGTATGAGTGTCTTTTTAATCTATCATTGGATTTATTTTTGTTTTACGTTTAGGCAACCCAGGGCTTCCAGGTTCTAAAGGTCAAGATGGATTTCCCGGAGGACCAGGCCGTCCCGGAGGCCCTGGCTTGCCAGGTAAACTCATCGCCGCGCCCTGTGACCCACTGTCACGGCTGTAGGCGCAGGCCTGCAATTTCTGGACAGATGGCCATCTGCTGGATGGAGCTTTCAGATGGCCTCCCTGGAGGATACTTATAGCCGTCTCTTCCATGCGTATGGGGATTGAGAGTTATACCCCCCTCGCACTGGCCTGAATTTTCTCCAGGTACTCTGGTATCCTCCCACCTGTATAAACACTCGTTGATGCATTTGGCTGAGCACCCCAATAGAAGACCACGGGGCTTTGGGTAATCGTTGGCGCCGGTTCTGGCTGCCTTCTTGCTTGTCTGTGACTTCCCGCGCCTCTGTGTGAAATCTGCGCAAAATTACAAATTCTACAGGTTCAAAATGGCATTAAAGACTCTGCTGTAATAAAAGTATATATATTTTTAAATGTATATTCTTTATTGCTAAATTTATATTTTTTACAGTTTTTTTCATAAACGCAAAGCCAGAGAGCAATGTGCTACTTGCCAATTGATTTGCAATTGGCAAGTAGGCCTGCCGCGGTCATTCCGAAATGCCTATTCTGGGTTTCAAAGTGTTGCGGCCGTTTTCTGTCTCGAAGGTGACAGAGAGAGACAGATCGGCGTTCAATGCCCCATGCCGCTGGAGTCTGCAGCCCGCAGCCCGCAGCCCGGTTTGAATTAAAATGTGATAATTGCCGCCTGGTGTGGCGCTAATTGTGCCGGGCGCAAACGTGGACGTCTGTAGGAGATGCAGGCCGCCCTGGATTGCCTGGCCCGTCGGGAGAGAAGGGATTTCCTGGAAAGGATGGTATTCCTGGCACGGCAGGACCTCGGGGAGACCCTGGTGAGCACCGGAGGTGTCGCACGTGGCACCACATCGTTGCAGCTCCGTGTTAATTTTGTTGCGCTTTCTGGCAGCGACTAAAATCATTTACACACCTTAACCCGAGCTATTAATACTCTGATACTTGAATTGCCTTTGTACTGTTCGTCTTTCGGCATTCTCTGGTCTGACACTGGTGAGACATGGCCGTAAAGAAGGCTGTCTGGTGTAGGCCAATCAGTTTCAAAGACAATGCCATATACTCTTTGGTTCTTTCGGTAAAGTCACGTAGGTATAAAATAACACAAGCGTCCTCCATCAGGACCGTACACTAACGCTGTGTGCAAAAATCCCAGTGGGATGCAAGTCAAACAACAACAACAGTTGCTCACTGGGTAAGGGAAGGGGAAGGGCGATTGGGCTCACTGCCCCACTCACATAGGGGGAACGATCAGTAAGGTAGCATTTTTATGGGGGGTGGGGGGGGGGGGGTTTGTCCCAGTCCTTTATATCTGCATATAAAACAAGCAGAGGTGGGCCGGGTGGCTGAGAAGTCGAAGAAGCGTTGAGTTGGCACCACTGAAATCCTGGGTTTGAATCCAGGTTTCAGCTGCCTGCGTCTAACCCGGATTCCTAAGTGTAGTGAGTTGTTGAACCCAGTCTGGTCACCAACAACTGTGCAAAGTTCACCATCAAGAGTAGGCGTGGTACTTGAAACTTCATTTGGCTACATTTTCCACGTATGCATCGAGCGATTCGCACCCACCAGAGCAATGTGGAATTTCCGCCACTGGCTCAGGACTTTGAAGAGGAGAATAATCCCCCCTTGGGCTGGCACGCGATGAACCGCGCCTCTTTGAGGTCGCAATCGAACAGCAATTTGTCCATTTGGCGAACTTTGTGCACGGGACGAGAAACCAAACAGCTAAATGACCCACTTAGATTTTCCCGGTGGATGATAAAATACGAAGAATCGCATGATTAATGGCGCGGCTTCCAGCCCGTTAAACCTTCACAACCGCTCGCCCGCTGCGTAGCTTCCTGCGGGCATGCCCAGAGTGGGTTTTGCGCGCTGCACTGTGGCAGCGCGTCCGCGATCGCCGTCGTAAATAATAACCCACTTCGTTTTCCTTTCCCAGGTCCGCCTGGCAGGGGAGCTCCTGGTCCCCCGGGGAACCCCGGCTTCCCAGGTATGGCGCATAGCCGGAAATCCATTCCCGCTCAGTGCAGGGCTGAACGCTAATTGCTGCGGAATTTATAGGAACAGTCAAATATTATTGCTGCGTGCCTTAAGCGATAATTTAGTAAATTTCCAACATCTGTTTTTTTTTTTAGACCGGTGCTGATCCATTATATTAAAAAAAAATGTAATGGACTTGCTGTACATGTATAAACAATCATAATGCGAATTCATCCGAGTGATTAAGTTTCTTCAATCACGACAGCTTACTATTTAAAATATATGACTATTTTTAAACAATAGCCCATTACAGAGCACGAACAGCGGGGGGAGGGGGTAGAGACATTCAGTGGACGACAACGCCCCAATGCTACAACACATCACCGTCAGCCATCATCCGCTGCTGGATGAAGGCCTCCGCGCAGGCCGCCGCCACCCCTTCACGGTTTTGCGGTTGTAACCAGCCGTCGAGCTTCTGCACGCGAGCGAATCCAGTCGCTCAGTCTCCACGGTGGACGTCCTCCATCGGGGGGGAGCGCTCCCTCCCCTGGCTGCCGCTCCGCCCTTAGTCTCGCCCATCGACCCAACGCGGTCGCATTTCGACGCGGCGTTGATTACAAATTGCGGAATCGTACGTGCAGTGCTGCCCGTGACCCCTTGTTGTTGTTGTTGTTGTCTCGTCTACATCTAGGTATAAAGGGAGATCCAGGCCGTCCCGGTGTGGGCGGGGTCCCTGGCTTCAGTGGCGCAAAGGGCGACCCTGGAGAAAAGGGGCCCATGGGCATCGATGGACCCCCGGGTTCTCCTGGTCCTCCCGGGCGAACTGTAGAAGGGGTCAAGGGCAACTCGGGTCTCCCTGGACTTCCAGGCCTCCCAGGTGAGGTCTCGGTGACCGCACTCTCACACCCGCGACGCTACACCGTGAAAACCTGACCCGCCGTGACCCTCCTGAAAATAGAAGCCGTGAGACTCGGCGAGGCTTTCCACGCTGCGTACGAGCATAGTGACAACAAAGCAAATGGCGGCGACCGTACATGTCGTCATGGCGCGTCTGTGTTTGTGTTCTTACAGGAAACCCTGGCTTCCCAGGCCAGCCTGGGTCCCCCGGGATCGGCGGAATCAAGGGGGAGCGTGGCAACCCAGGACTCCCCGGAAATTCGGGCCAGTCCGGCTTGAAGGGGGAGAGTGGCTTTCCAGGACAACCCGTGAGCTCACAGCCCTCGTACCGTCTTCCTCCGGCCTTGCTTCCCTTCAGTTTCTCGTCGTTGTGTAGTCTCCCAAATTTTCTGTATCCTCGTTGGTGCTACTTGTGTTGTGTCGCGAGACGAAGTATCACGACGCAACGCCCGATCCACAAATAGGAAGGACACGTCACCACAGCGGTACCACTCCGCTGTTCCTGTTATCCGGCTTGACCACCTGAATGTGAAATTGTCGTCATTGCTCTGCGTCTACATCAACAGCCGTACGAAAGACGCAGATGAGACAAAGTTTCCACTCGAATCTTTCACAGAGCAGCTGGAGAACATCCCGAGAACAGCCCGTAAACTTGTTTACCCAGGAAAGCCTGACTCCCAGGATAGTTGTTATTTCTACCCTCCCCTAAGCAACGTCCTGCTAGATTTTGTTCCCAGTAGGTGGCGACAGTTGCTCCTTTTGCCAAAGTAACCACTTCTGAAATTCGTTCACGTGACCGCTGGTCCACACGTTCAGGGGAAGCACTTTCACACCCGTTCTGCCACTGAGAGTAATATTTGACGCACGGCATCTTCTTGGTTCTTTTGGTAAAGTCATGTAGAATGGAAATAATAAAATAATAAAAATAAAACATAATAAAATAATTCTCACGACGTTTCGGCCACAACGCAAGCAGCCGTCCTCAGGTGGAGAACAGGTCTGTCGAGAAGACAGAGTCTGAATGACACATCCCAGGCTTGGAGCGTCAAAATAATTATTTTGTCAAGGCACTCTTCCCCCCTCCATCCCAGCTTGTGGCCGAAACGTCGTGAGAATTATTGTATTATGTTTTATTTTTATTATTTTATTATTTCCATTTTACATGATTTTACCGAAAGAACCAAGAAGATGAATCCCTGCAGTCACGAAAGCTTTAAATCGAAATTTAGTTTTGTTTTATTTGTAGTTTTTGTTCGTGATTTGCTTACCTTTCCTATACTTTACACTCCTATCGTGTTTTTGTATTGTTTTGTTGTTGTAATGTTCTTACATGCCCTTACTGGATGTCTGCGAAAAAGAGCTTTACAGCTCATCGGATTTCTCCAGTAAAAATAAACATTCTGATCCTGTTTCAGGGCAGCTTGGGGCGGCCAGGGTTCGATGGCCCCAAGGGCGACCCGGGTCCTCAGGGTCCCCCGGGATTCCCCGGTGAGTTCTCCCTCGCTGCCTCCACGCTCGGGTAATGAGATGGAGCGGGTCATGTGAAGGAGACGACGAATATCTCATGTCACCATAAGAGGGGGGAGAGGTACAGGTTACAGCATGGTCTTGAGAGGTAAATTTATTGCACAATGGACATGAGGCAGCACTTTAATGTTTTAATGTTCTGAGAAGACTGATATCCCAGGACATCAGCTACCTTAAAAAGAGGATGGTGATGATGATAATCCTAGGAAGTCCAGAAGAGGTGGCAACCCTACACTGCACAGATTCTCGCTGTACTTTCAGAGCGATACGTTTCTTTAATCAACGATGCTCAACACGGGCGCAGAGGCTAGACAGCGCTGAGCGGCCAGAAATCTGAGAGAGTACTTTGGAAGGTGCAGGTGATATGAACTCGTAGAATTCGCGCATTGCGCAAGGTTATAGAAACTTTGCCCCTGATGACAAAATCACCCAGATTTCAGCATTAAATTAGTACGATGCGCCTTGTGTCAACATTGGTACTGGGGAGACAATGGCGACCGGGCGTTGTGCTGGTCACACGACACCCTGATTGGCCATGCCGGCCTCATCGCCTCGCAGCACTTGTCCCAACAGTCTACGTGGTAATGGGGGGGGGGCGGTGCTTCCATTTCTCTCTCTGTGTACTGCGTGGCCTGACCAGTTTTCATTCTGTCTTGCAGGTATGAAGGGCTCTTCTGGCCTCCCAGGCATCAACGGGGGCCCAGGAGAGAGGGGCTTCCCTGGGCCACCAGGTGAGAGGTTTCTACCACCCCCTCCGCCACCACCCCAAAAATAATAATACATCCATCGCAACGTGGCACCGCACGATTTACTTTGCCCGTTGTTTCACACGGCTACCGCGGACACTCCCGAGTCGTGCACTGAAGAGGAATCGCGCGGCACGACCACGCATCAGAAGTTCTACATACACACATAGACCACCACAACCACCACCGCCGCCGCGTGCAACCTCCGTTGTTCCTCGATCTAGGTCCTGAAGGTCCTCCCGGCCCCCGGAGCCCCGTCTCGTACGTGAAGGGAGACCCGGGCCCGCCGGGCAACCCCGGTCTGCCCGGCCCACGTGGTCCTCCAGGACAGCCCGGCCAGCCCGGACTGCCAGGTGAGTCCTCTGCCCGGCCACTTGACTCGGTGGAGATGGTTTTGGTGGGGGGGGTGTGGTCACTTGTAATTGTTTCTTTTTTACAGGGCCCCTGCCCCTTTTACTTCAGTAGTTCAGGAGTGAAGTTCCTTGAGCTCTACGGCCATTTTGAAAGGGCGACTCATCGCAAGCATTTGAAAAGGGCACCCCTAGTGGCAACTGTCTCTGTGGGCACGTTGTGATGAGTTTTTCCCAGTCGAGAGCGGCGATTGCTGTGTGTGATCCCTAGTGAATGATTTTAAGGGCAATATTTAAAATATGGAAAGTTTGGACCACTTGTCACCTCCTGACAAGTGATATTTTTGTTTCCCCATCAGGTTCTTCCGGTCAGTCGGGAGGACCAGGTGAGGACGGCCTTCCCGGAAGTGATGGGCCCTCCGGAAGGAAGGGCCAGACTGGGCCGTCTGGTCGCACAGGTGAGACTCGGCTACACCGCAATTTCACCTTTGTTCCTGATTTTATTGTTGTTGTTGTTGTTGCTGCTCAGATTTGCGTAACTGGTGCTTTGTTTTTAACCTGCTGTTCTTATAGGACAAGGCGTTGCTGTGTTTCACAGACGCAATCTGCGGTCATTTCAACAGCAGGATGACGCGTTGCCCCAATTTAGTAATTTGCGGGTACATTTTTAAAACGTGAAAATTTTCAACCACGACGCCAGAATACAGTGGCCTGCTCTTTCCAAATCACGTCACTGGATCTTTAATGCCGTCTGCTTTAACTAGCGGATGGATTAACCAAGGTGGTGGCCTACCAAACATGATCCACGGACCTCTACAATGAGCGGCAAAAATGCGCTACCGCTGGGCCAAGTCTGTTGTTTTGTTTGCGTTTGCGTACGACTGTTCAACTTGTCTAGCCGTGCGACTTCGTCTGTCATTTTCCGCCATTGCTGACCTCATTGGGTTCTTCCAGCTTCAATCAAATGTCGATGTCAACAGCAAAGGTTTTTTTGGGTTAGATCGTGTAAATATAAATGTGTCGTGAAACCGACCACCACCCGACACAGCCTTATTAGTAAGGTGTGTCACGTAAACAAAACGCGCCATTTAGTTACTACTTTAGCATACCGTTGCGTTGGAGAGTAAACCCACAACATTCACAATTTGAGTGCAACGTTTCGCCGGCGATTACAACAACCAGCCTCATCAGGCGATAGCCAGAATTGTGATGAAGTCCTCCTGTTTCGGTCTTAAATAGAGAGAGTGACGGTGATGTCATCACTGTGGGCCTATTACGGTGCTAAGACTAGAGGGGCGTTAGCGTAGTCATAAATGTTAATGTGTCTCACGTTGTCCCAAAAGTACGTTTTCCATATCCGGGTGAAATAAAGTTGACTACTTCTAATATATGCTAGCCAGAATCACCACCACCACTCGCCTCCGATTAGCTTCCTGCACCTCCGATTAGCACGGTTGGCGATGCACGGTGTTCATTTATTTGTTTCCGTTTTAATGAGGTAAACAAAAAAATTATAAAAAATTATAATATATCACGACCTTTCGATTGCAACACAAGCGGGCCACCCGAGTTCGATTCCTGCTCACGCCCATAATTAATGGCAAATACCAGAGCTGGTCCTGGGCCTTCCCGAGGTCGACTCAGCCTTCAAAATGAGTACCTGGTGCGGTGGAATTTTTGAGAGATGCGGTGGTGCTGGCCACACCACTCCCTTGCGTGTCATCATGCCATTGCTACTCGCCAATGGAACTTTTGCCCAACAGTATGTTATGGGGCGCCACGGTGGCGCGATGTTAACCACCTCGCCTTGTTGAGTGCAGCAGCATGATGTCGAAACGGTCAGGCTGCTCGGCCAACTCCTCGAGATGGGCAGAGAGCGGATCGATGGAGCGAGAAACGATCTGTGCTAACGGCCGCGCGTCGCTCGTTTCAGGCGAGCGAGGATTCCCAGGCCCGCAGGGCACCGACGGAATTCCCGGAATCCCGGGACAGCCCGGCCCTCCCTCCATGCCTCACGGGTTCATGGTGACGCGCCACAGCCAGTCGGTGGAGGTGCCCACGTGTCCGTCGGGCCTCGTCAAGCTGTACGACGGCTACTCGCTGCTCTACGTGCAGGGCAACGAACGCTCACACGGCCAGGACCTCGGTAAGTCGTGGTCGTCGTCAACGTCGTCAACAGCGTCGGGGATCGCCTCCCCTGGCCTTCGGTCATGAACTTCCTCACTTAAGTTCGTCTTCCCGCACCTTCCCGCATAGAAGTGCACACGCACCGTGGTCCCCACTGGGTAAGGCAGCAGCGAGAGCCCAGTGTCACCCCTTCCTCTCAACTCAGGAGAATAGCGTTTAGGACTTACCGTCCCCCCACGTCACAGTTTGTGCTCTGGGCTTCCACTGCAAGAATCACCTCGTGGCCTCCGTCATGAACTCTTCTTTCGTCGGTTAACTCTACTCCGATATGTCCGTTAACTCTACTGCACCACGTCAGTTAACTCTACTGCACCGTGTCAGTTAACTCTACTGCACCGTGTCAGTTAACTCTACTGCACCGTGTCAGTTAACTCTACTGCACCACGTCAGTTAACTCTACTGCACCATGTCAGTTAACTCTACTGCACCATGTCAGTTAACTCTACTGCACCATGTCAGTTAACTCTACTGCACCACGCCAGTTAACTCTACTGCACTGTGTCAGTTAACTCTACTGCACCACGCCAGTTAACGCTACTGCACCACGCCAGTTAACTCTACTGCACCGTGTCAGTTAACTCTACTGCACTGTGTCAGTTAACTCTACTGCACCTCGCCAGTTAACTCTACTGCACCGTGTCAGTTAACTGTACTCTGCTCTGTCCATTAACTCTACTCCGCTGTGTCTGTTAACTCTACTGCACTACGTCTGTTAACTCTACAGCACTACGTCTGTTAACTCTACTGTGCTCTGTCCGTTAACTCTACTCCGCTGTGTCTGTTAACTCTACTGCACTACGTCGGTTAACTCGACTCCGCCGCGGCGGTCCGTCTGGTAGGCACGGCGGGCAGCTGTCTGCGTCGCTTCAGCACGATGCCCTTCATGTTCTGCAACCTGAACAACGTCTGCAACTTCGCGTCACGCAACGACTACTCCTACTGGCTCTCCACGCCGCAGCCCATGACCATGAACATGGCTCCTGTCCACGGCCAGGAGATCCAACCTTTCATCAGCAGGTGCGAGGCCCCTTTCGAAATTTTTACGCGAAATCTGTGGGGTTTTTGTTTAACATTTTTTTATTAGAATTTTTTGTTTGCACGGTAAGATCTCCAAATGTGCTCAAGAGAAAAGTCGTCGCCGCACCCACTCGCAAAGGATTTCCTCGTTGTACCGCCGCATCCGTGATTGACGGTGCACACGACAAGTATTATATATTATTTTTTTAATGTTAGCAAGTTCGTGACCCATTGCTCCCTTCTTTTTCGGAGGCTGACATTGGTCGTAAACGTTTTTTTTTTGTCCTAAATAAAACACAGCTGCTTTGGCACGGGAAGCGCTGCCTGAATAAATAACTTTGACGGATATATCGGCAAAGTAGGTCCTTTGGCTGTTGCTTGTTTCCGCTGTGGCTGAGTTCAGAATCCTGCGCACAAGATCGGGGATGTGATGTCACCGCGCGCTACAGGTTTAACTTTAGCGACAGATGTGCCCTTGATAATTGGTTCTTTACCCTTCTATCTGGCAACAAAACTGACACCTTTTTACAAGGAGTCATGTTTGCATAGACCGCAATACCTGCAGTCATAAATACAAACAAAAGACATAACTCTGATAATGTGCACTGTCAGAGTTATGTCTTTTGTTTGTATTTATGACTGCAGGTATTGCGGTCTATGCAAACATGACTCCTTGTAAAAAGGTGTCAGTTTTGTTGCCAGATAGAAGGGTAAAGAACCAATTATCATATTTTTACTGGCAAATGAGGTCCCCATAGTGTAGATGTGCCCTTCTCACGAAATGTATTTTACCCGGATAAAAGTGCACCTCAGAATTTTAATGTTGCTTTGACAGTTGTAGTGTAACTACTATTCGTATTTTTTTTGTCATAAAAAAAATGTAAATGATACACAAAGCTACTAAATTACGGTGATATTTTGCATGTAAATTCCAACGTGATGAAAAGACTAATGGTCCAAAGTCAATTTGGGCCATCCTGGGCATTGGTGGCATGCCAAAACAATGCCGCAATTGCTAATATGGGCTGTGCCCACGCTGTTGTGCCACTATCACCACCAGCATCTCGTCTGCCAGGCATGTTACGTGACGATGCATCGACTCATACTTTCGCAGAAATGTTTCTTGACCACCTTCGTGGCAAATGCAGAATTTCCTGAAAGCCGCAGTAGAAATAAGCATCGTTTCGATTCAAATTGCTCATCATTTTCTCCATACACATGCTGCACGTGCGCTTAAACAATCGATGCTTTTATCTTCAATCCGTGCTACGTTCTAGCCCTTAGGTTCACGTTACTCCCTGCAGAGACGCTACGATTACCGCGATGTGAAACAATGTTTGTTACGAATCGTACGATTTGTTACGAATCGTACGATTCGTAACAAACAAAACTCTCCCTCCCTAGCCTCTCCATGCGCTGTGCAGAAGGGCCGTTGCCCGAAACGTTGCCTATTATATCCTTTTTTTTCTAAGGCCACAGTGCAATTGACAGATGTGTTGAGTTGTGTTGCTTGTGCACCACTTCCAATGCGCAGCAGCTGCATCGCCAAATCGTTTGTTACAATTGACAGAGTCACTGTGCGTCTGTGGGGGGGTGAGGTGTGCGGGTGGTGGTGGGTAAATGTTTCATGCCTTTGGCCCACACCGGCCGAGAAACATCTGCTCGGTATAATCGCGGTGCTGCGCGGTAAACATCGAGTTTTGAGGATCCGCTGCGGTGCGTGTGCATGCGTGCGCGTGTGCGTGCGTGCATGTGCGCGCCTTCGTGTGCGTGCACGCGAGCCAGCGAGAGCTGCCTCCGCCCGTTGTGACTGTGGTCTCCGTGGTAACCGCCGTAAACGTCTCCACAGATGTGCGGTGTGCGAAGCGCCGGCGATGGTGATCGCTGTTCACAGCCAATCCATCGTGATCCCCCCGTGTCCCAACGGATGGGCCTCCATTTGGATCGGCTACTCGTTCATGATGGTATGTCTTGGCGTGCGCGCACGTGCACACACGAGCGCGCAAAGACAAAGATGCCCCGTATAGCCTTTATAAACTACAGAGCTATTAACTATTTTGATTTTACCAGGTAAGGCCCACTGAGCTGTATAGCTCTTTTTCAGAAGCGACCTGGCCACACATGATTGCCTAATTGAAGTGGCTTATCATGGGGAAATTTATAGCAGCCAAATACTCTAAACACGTGTTTCTAGATGTGGAGGGAAAAACCGGAGGACCCGGAGTGAGAGAACATGCAAACTCCAAATATACAGGCATTAGGGTCGGGATCGAACCCACGACCTCCTGTATACCAGGCAAGGTAGTTAACATCTCCTAGCTACCATGGAACCCCATAACAGAATGTTGGGTAAAAATTATGTTGGCGAGTAGCGCTGGCATGACGACACGCAAGGCAGTGGTGTAGCTAGCACCATCGCACCCGGTCCACCCATCATCTCCCCAATTCCCACCACCCCGGGTGCTAGTTTTGAAAGGCTGAGTTGACCTCGGGGAGGCCCAGGACCAGCTCAGGTATTCGCCGTAAATTATGGTCTTGAGCAGGAGTCGAACTCGGGTGGCTTGGTTCGTGGGGGAGTGCGCTCACCACTGCACCACCGCTCCCCACGTGCACACACATGTACACATGCGCAAACGTAAACACACACACGTACCACGTAAACATGTGCATATTAGCATACGTACACATGTGCATACATACATACACTTGCACACATCTGGTATTTATATATATGCAAAAAAAAATTCTGAGAATAAAGTGATAAAAATAGATGCGACAACACAAATGCTTGACCTAGTTAAAAGCATCGTCCTCCTGCAGTGATCGTAGAATTGATTCGCCGGGCAGAAGGAGACGCAATAGTGAGTCCATTCATCATCATTATGGTCTCCGGTCGTCAGATCTTTATTTAAATCAGGTGAGAGTCTATTGAGAGCAAACGTCTCCGTTACAAGGGAGAGCTGGGTCACGAAGTGCATCATCGGTCCCCGGACACCCACCCTTTTCACAAATCCACGCCAACCAATGTGGTGAAGTATAGCCACATAACTCCCCCCGCACCCCGTCCCTCCACCCCCCCACCTTCCTCCCACCAACCCCAACCAACACCGTATGGTGAGGCCTTAGACCAGCAGTGGAATGACAAAGGGCTTGGAAATTATTATTATTTTATCAGTGGAGTGTTCATGAGCTCCACATGATGATGTTACACCAAAGACGCTTCCAGATAAACAGAGCTCAACGGGTTATTGGCAGAGAGCGGAGACAAACAGAAACATCTTAGCACGTGCCGGCAATTCTCTGTGCGGGGGATATCACTGTTTTCCCTTAGCCTTCTTATATATGTCAACTGATACAACATACGCCACGGGATAAATGGCTCCATTTGTGTGTACATGTAGATATGTATTGATGATTGCAATGCGTATATGTAGTTGCGTGTCGCTGTCTCTGTACGCACGTACAATTAATACAAAAAAATGTATTACATGAATAAAAAAATATTTGCCGAGCAATAACTGTCCATCGGAGAGACTTAGCCAGCGCTAGCAGAAAGCCTGGGTTCAATTCCAGGCTTCCTACACCCTGGCGAGATGTTAACTACCTCGCCTGGTATGCAGGAGGTCGTGGGTTCGATCCGAACCCTGACGCCTGTTGTATATTTGGAGTTTGCGTGTTCTCCCCGTGGTCCCATGGATTTTTTTCCAGGTCCTTCGGGTTTTCCCTTCACTTATAGAAACATACGTTTAGAGTATTTGGCTGCTACAATTTTCCACATGATAAGCCACTTCGTTGAACTATCATTTGTGGCCAGGTTGCTTCATCTATGACTGCAACACAAAACTCACTTTTGACCCTTTACTACATACAATATAAACTTTATCACAAAATTCTATGAAATAAAAAACATCATATTTAAAGTTCAACATGACAGTGTTTTAATTGAATATAATGGCATTTATGTTGCATTACTTTCCTTCTCGTGCCCTGCCAGTCGTAAATGTATCCAGAATCGGGATGTGAGTGATGATAAGGCCAGCAGTGGATTGACCATGGCACTCAATAATAATTTCAACTCACGGTATACGCTCACTTTCGAAGGGAGAGAACGACTCAGAAGCACGAGGAACCACTATCAGGAAGGTAGCCACATGCTGATCCGACAATATTAAGATGTTTTCAGCCAATTAATGAGTGTACATGTGGGAGGAAACCGGAGAATCTGGAGAAAATGCGCATGCTCGAGGTGGAAACGCTCTATCCCATACAGATGGAAAACAGGTGGAGTCCAAATTTTTGTACTCTTAGGTTATTTCGGTAAAGTCACATAGGTAAAAAAATAATAAAATTAAAATTAATAAAAGTAATAATAAAAATAAAATAATAAATCACGACGTTTCAAGTGATATAGTAAATCTGGCTGTGACGGTCCCACCTGATGATGGAGACTTGTGTTGCCTCCGAAACGTCGTGATTTATTATTTTATTTTTATTATAACTTTTAAAAAAAAATTTTACCTACATGACTTTACCGAAAAAACCTAAGAGTATGAATCCTTGCAGTCACGAAAGCTTCAAATCTAGAATCTCAATTTTTGCTCTACTGCCTTCTGGTGAGCTCGGGGACACGATGATGATGATGATGATGTGGCCCGGTTTGTTTATAGATTATTTGGCTGCTACTTTAAATTCCCACGTTGTCATGATGATGATAAATCCACTTCAATGAGCTGCCACATGTGGCCAGGTCACTTCTAAAAAAGAGCCAATAGCTCATTGGGCCACACCTGGTAAATAAAATAGTTCAATTTTGTTTGAAGTCTCTTCTCCAAAAACTTCATCTTGCACCCATGCCTTTTTTAGACCCCCTTAATTGCTTCCTTTCTCTCCTTCCCCTGCTCGGTCCGTGCCGTTCCCTCCCGTTTCCTCCTCCGCAACCTCTGCGCTCTCTGAGACGTTTGTTCATTTACGGGCGCATTTACCAACGAGAATTTGCCGATGTCGCAGTTAAAAAATTAACCCGTAAAAACAAAGTTTTTCACTATAAATCCTTTATATGCGTGGCGGCTAGAGTCCTCTCGTCCTCTGGCTTGAGATGGCTGCCACCTATGGGTCAGATGATTGCCTGGCACCATTAAGCAATTGGTAATTAAATATAATATTTTTTTCCTAAAAAGTGTAAAATTCACTAAAATAAATTGTCACGCACAACGAGTCTGTGTGCAAAATGTCAGCTCGATTGGATCACGGGAAGTGGGTTAAAAAACGACCGAAAGATTTGCACAGTCGTAAGCGCGCAAGCAAGCAAGCAAGTGAACTTAATATAAAGGATTTAAAAAGCGGCGAACACGAGGGTTCACCTGTCACGGACGGTGAGCTTGCCCGCCCCGCTGACTCGTCACGGAGCATGAACCATCACGCGAATTCCGGTCGTCCGCGCAGTGGAGGCTTTTTTGATGGCCATTGAACAAAGATGGTCACCGCATCAGACGCTTACAGATGCGCTTTCAGATGCGCTCCTGCGGTCATCTGGATCATCCTCTTCCGATGTTAGAAAGCCACTGGAATCAAAATTGAAAACGAATTTCTTTCGTTTTTTGTCCTCCGATTAGCGTGGTTGGCTACGTACGGTGTGAAAGAAGTTCCACGTGTTTGTATTGTATGGTATGGGTCTCCTCATCTCACCTCCATCGCCACTAGAGGCACTATACTATTGTAAACTAAACTTTTGTTTTAACCAGGTGAGGCTCACTGAGCTATGCAGCTTTTTTTCAGCAATGACCTGGCCACCAATGATAGCTCAACGAAGTGGCACATCGTGTGGAAATTTACAGCAGCCAAACACTCTAAACGCGTGATGTTGATTCTAAATGTGGAGGGAAAAACCGGAGGACCCGGAGAAAATCCACGCGACCACGGGGGGGAGAGAGAGACACGCAAACTCTAAATATGCAACAGGCGTCAGGGTCGGGATCAAACCCGAGATCTCCCGCATACCTGGCGAGGGAGTTAACATCTCGCCACCGCGGCACCCCACTACATGCATGACCGAACTGTGCCGATCTCCCGCCCCCCCCCCCCCCCCCCCTAACGCCGTCGCGTGCAGCACACGAGTGCCGGTGCCGAGGGCTCGGGCCAGGCCCTGGCATCGCCTGGCTCCTGCCTCGAGGAGTTCCGCTCAGCGCCCTTCATCGAGTGCCACGGCCGCGGAACGTGCAACTACTACGCCAACTCCTACAGCTTCTGGCTCGCCACCGTCGAGAACCACGAAATGTTCAAGTGAGTGAGCCGAACCGCACGTGCCGGAGGGAGGGCGGGCATTCCTAGAAAATGCCGTGTTGGACTAAAACCACGTTCGACAAGTAAATAGACCTAAAGTGAACTAAAGGGTTGCGTTTCTGCGTTCTTTAATTATCATCCCCGCTCCCTATTTGTTGAACTAATTCTACAAGATTTCCGCCCTTGTTATTGAACAGAAGTCCCGCGGCTAACAGTGACATCGGTGAACGGTTTTTGTGGTTGACGTTTCGCCTCCCATAGGACCAGCATGGTTTCGACTGACGTGAACATTTTGATAGCGGTGGTAGGTTTACGTTATGCGCGCCATTTTCAGCCAATCTGATGTCCGCAACGACCGCACAGGCTAGATGAATGCGGCGGTGTGTGAACGTTTGCTTCCTGCTGTGTTGAGTGCGTCACATTATCACGCAACAAAAATACACACACACACTTACAAAAGCGTACATGGTAAATAAATCGTTCTCATGGTCGATTTGTTCACACCTTCCAACGGACGCTGCACTATCACGGCACTACTTTTCGACATCCACAGCGTATGAATCATCATCACCTTCATCAGCCGGATGAAAGCCTCTCCAGGCTGCCACCATCTCTCACGGCCCTGCGATGTTGATAGCCTATTAACCCTTTCCCATTCCGATGACGTACGTGTTACGAGTGCGTCATCGGAACGGCATCGGAACAAAAACTAAACTAAAATATCTTTACCGGTACCGAGGCTCCCACAAGGCCATGCGGGAGGGCGTGTGGCACAGTTGGGCACCAGCTGTCTTAGAGTGCGGCGGTCAGGTCGCTACAGTTCTCTGCGTTGAGTAACAACGTCTGCAAAAGCAACGGCGCTACTCCGTCTCTCTGAATAAACTTAACACTGAGCCGCTCGCGCGTTCCGAGATTCGGCGGTGAACGGGACACCGCCCCCACCCTGCAACCTGGAGGCGTCTCCGAGTACGGGAAAGGGTTAACACAGATAGCCAATGTCCTGTTTACACTCAAACATCACCCTCTCCCCCCCCCGTCCCTCGTCACTTTCAGGAAGCCACAGTCGGAAACGCTCAAGGCTGGAGAGCTGCGTTCGAGGATAAGCCGGTGCCAAGTCTGCATGAGGAAGACATAACGCTCCTTCCAAAGGGGGGGTGGGGGGGGGGTGATTATAACACAGCAATGATTTCACAAGGGTGCTCTCTGTGTAAATGATACAAACTCTATGCATATTTTATTGTGTGTACCTCAGGCGTCTTATGTTGTGTAACGCAGGCCTTCCAACTCGGCAGCACATCCGCCAGAGGTTTTCTGCTCCCCCCCCCCACCACCACCATCACCATCACCCCCCCCCCCCCCACCGATGGGGAGACGGAACAGCTGCGTCCACGATGCACTGCGCTTCACGCAAAGCACACGAGCACCCGTAGGAATTTGCACGTGGAATGCGCGGGGGCAGCCCGGGAGGTGTGTGTGTGCAAGAGTGAGCGTAAAGACACGGGGAAATCTGTTCCGTGTTTGTTTTTTTTTAAGTTGTTTTAAACACGGGGGGGGGGGGAGGGGTGGAAAACTCCCTCCAGATGTGCTGGCCACTTACTTCTGACGCAAGATGAGCATATAAAGGGGAGATGTTGGAGAGAAAAAAAAAGGACACGTCAGAAAATCAACGTCTTTGATCGTACGTGTACATATACACATTTTAATATGTATTGTACATTACGTATGTGTTTATGTGCCGGTGTGTTTATATATATAATATATAGCACACGAAACACATCTGCACATAAAACACAAAATCAATAAGCGGTCTTCAACGTGAATGTCCTGTTAATCGCTTTAATCATTTATAAAAAAAAAAAGAACGCTTTGGTCAAGGATTATATTTAAACCGTAGGACACTATTTTGGTTTTGGGGTTTTCCTTCTCTAATGTGCCACATTTTTTTTAGGGATTAAACAACAACAAAAACAACTCCCGCAGTGAAAGAGCTCCAGTGCACATTTTTTACATTAAAAAATGCACCCTGGAGTTTTCTCATTAGACGTTTATTTTTTTAAAACCTTGGACAGTTTTTAAAATGTGTTTTTAAAGCAAAAAATGAGCTGCCACTCAAAATGGAAAGAATTAAAAGCCATCTCTCTCTGATAAAAAAAAAACATTACACTTAAGACGACTCCTCATTTTGTAAAAGTTTTGGAAGGTCTGGATTGGCAATTGCTAAGCTCCAAAAGACTGCTGTTATAGAAAGGCTTGGCGCATATAATAATATTATTTTTTATATAATGTGACTGATCTTTAACTATTCATATGGTGCTGTTGCATAGATTAAGCTACACATGCCACACTCACAAACTGCAGAAGCCTTGTATTAGTTCCTTCACTTACAAACAAAATGACAACAACAAAAACTGGCCAGTGCAGTTTTAAGTGGATTATATTACTTGAATGCATGTCGTATTAATCATTTGATTTCGTTTTTCCTTCTCTCTAATGTCAGACCACTAAGTGTCTCCGCAATTTGACGTACGCGAGCAGTTGACCTAACAACGAGCTGCTGCTGCTGCCGCTTGGCCGATTGTGATGCCCGCACATCACCCGCCCCCCCGCCTCGGCCCCGGGGGGCAATGCGTGCCAGGTTAGGTGCCGCGTCGAACACCGTGTTACCGGCGGCAATGTAACGGCGCACCTTCGGCTAACGCCGACGTTACCCGACAACAACAACAATGTTCGGGGGCTCGTAAGGCCACCGAACGGCGAGGGATGACACGCTCTGCCCCCTCGCGAGCGACGCGACGAGTTATGCCGACGTGGAGTTTGCCGATTTCCACTCTCAAATTCGCAAACGCCCCTTCCCCATCAGCAAGCCGTGCTGTTGACTCCCCTGTCCTCGTTTTTCTCTGCCCGTGACTTGCCTGCATCGTCTCTCTATCTCTCTCTCTCTCCACGTCAAGTAAATATGTCTCGCGCTGGGCACGGATGAACGCGGGTGACTTGAACATCGTCCGTTCACGCGGCGCAACAACGAATCGGATGGCATCCGCTAGAGAACTACGCTGCCCGGTCACTAGGTAGCTTGAGTGTGCTAGCATTAGACAGAGAGTGCCAAAATAGTGAAATGTTGATTGACCAAACCATGATTCCTCCTCACAGTAATCAAAGCCAGCGAGCCATGGGCTTCATTGATAGGCAGACAGTGTTACACCGCTTGTGAAGCTGTTTACATGTTCACGAATACGTCGCGATAGTTGCCAAGTTTGTCCGCAACATTCAGCTACAAAACACCTACTGGCATTCGTAGTGATGCACCTATTTTGCCTTCACGTCAATATGTAAACAGACTGATAGAAGTGTGTTACGATTTGTTTTCGTAGATTCTGCTCATGACACGATCAGTGTAAGTCCAGGGCTGCCATGTTAAGCTTCGCTGCTTTATTTGTATTTTTGTTTCGATACACTTGACTGTATCTACTCACGCGCTCACTTTATTGATGATGAATACCGGATGTTGATTTTTTTTTGTTAAATTAGAATTTTCTCCAATCACGACAGAAAAAAAACTGGCCTCACCGAATGCAAAGTCATCATCGACCAGTATCGTGAAGCCATGGTTCTATCCACTGCGGGATGAGGGCCTCCCCAAGGTTCCGTCACCTCTCACGACCGTGCGATGTTGCAAGTACTTACCGAACGCAACGGTCTCCGATGTTGAAGATTTATGGCTGGACCGTGCCTTATTTTCAGTGGAATATTCGACGGAACGTTCCTCTGAAAATTTAGCCGATATATATTTGCTTAAGACAAAAACAAAAATACAGCCCTTCGGGTTTGTATTTTTGACAATAAAATCAAATCGAGTTTAAAGCTCACCAAGGTTTATTTGTTTTTGTTGCACGCCACTTGCAGCCACGTTTTCTTTTTGTCTGTGCGGTTTGGCGAGCGTCATCAATTCGTTCACGCGGTTCGCCGCAGTTTTGACACCGTGACAACTTCTCTCGGCATCTCTCTCTCTCGCTGTCTGCGTGCGCGATTGGGGAAAAGCATTGCAATCGGAGAGCCCTCACCCATTGATTTGCCGTTCCACGCGCGCCGCCAAGACCAAAGATGCGGAACTGTTGAGTGGTTGCACGGAACTCGCGCAAAGCCGTTATAGCATCGTATGTGGGCGAGACCGACTGTGTGTTGAGACTGTGCGTACATGTGTGCGCGCGCGTCTGCGTGATTTTCCCATTGTTGAGTGGAAATTTCCAGTTGACCTTTTCACGGGGACGGGGCTCGTATTTTGACAATAACAATGCGATGGGGTGGGATGACACCTGGCACGTTGCCAACAGTGGCCACAGCTGAGAGTGACGGCGTGGCTCGCGTGAATCGATAGCTCATTCAAAAATTATCGCGCCGTCACCGGCTTACTATTTTTTAAAGAGGGGGGGGCGGGGGTTTTCTAGTGTAGGCGGTGATGAATGACATTAGAGAGCTATATTTGGTGAAAGTGTGCATTGGGAATTGTCTTTTTGTTCATTAATGCCTTACATACGAATATGTATTATGGGATGGTGCTAACTTCTCAAAACGTTGGACCGGTAGCGAACTGGGGGTGCTACTGCGACGTGTTACGGGACGAAAACGGGCAACGAAACGTGCGTTTGTGTGTGTATCATTTTAGCGACTGTGTGAGAGAGCATGGACAAGGTAGAGAATTCCCGTGTCAGGTGGCGAGTGCTGATTCTACAACATCGGCAACAAATGGCCTTCACAGTGGGTTAGGGCAGGCCGAGAGGTTTTTATAACATCGGTGTGGGTGCATGGGTGGTGTGTGTGTGCGTGCGGGCATCTCTAGGCATGGCATGCGTGCGTCAAATATTGCCTCGTGGCAGATTGGCCGCAAATGCTGCTGCTGCTGTTGCTGCTGCTGTTGTTGCTGCTGCTGTCCCCTCTGCGTGCTGTTCAACGCGCACGCGCAGGTAACGACAGCGTGCGGCAAGACGCAAATAAATACAGCGCAGTCACTCGCATCAAGGACAAGCATTGACAATGTTTTGTTGAAACCCACGCGTCTCTCATATTCGAACGGCCCGTAACCTCGCTCGGCTCTTCCCGCCGTTAATGCTGCAGTTTACTTATCGCTGTTCCATGGAGGGTACAGTCTTACCCGTGTTAAAGAGCAATAATAATATTAATTAGGAGAAGGATCATCATTTCAACTTGTCGGGTGCCGCCCAGTATTCGCTCACTCTCTCGCAGAGAGCGAGGCGGCGACTCTGAGCTGCGAGGAAACCGCAGGCAAGCGGGTGAGTTGGTGAAATTAAAAAAAACCCTCCAAGCTCTGCGGTTCTCTACGTAATTGTACACGTGCATGTTGAACTTTCCTTTCGCACCATACGTAAGCCAACCATGCTAATCGGAGGTGCGCGGGAGACTGGCAACAGGCGAAACGCACGCACGCATGCAAAAAAAAAGCAATTGCCGCGTTGTTTCCTGCAAGGCATAACTTGCTAGCTGCAGTTTCAGTGTAACGTGTTTAAATCTCCCGCGTGAGCGCAAACGCACGCACGCTGGCAAACGTGCAAGTCGACGGCATGTTAATACGCGTTTGGCAATCATATACTGCCCGACGAGTCGGTGCGTCCATCGTTGCCAGACGCTCGTGTTTCCAACATTCACGCGAGGGAAATTGATCGATTTCTCGAGTCAACGTTGCGAGAAACCAGGCAATTCTTTGAAGAACAAGCGTTGTTGGACAGGGGCTGTGAAATCGTGAGCAGGCACGATGGTGATGCCGGGTAAGGGGTGCTAAGGTGATTCATCCAGGCCACAGCGAATGGCTGCAATATTTGATTAGCATAATTGACTGCCGAACGCGAAAGTTGAACATATGCATGAACATACATATGTTGCATTTCTTTCCCACCGTACGTAGCCAACCATGCAAATCGGAGGTGCGGTGAAGGACAAAAAACCAAACACATAAAACATTTGTTGTAGAGAAATTACTTTTTCAATCTCGATGTAAAGGTGCATAGCTCCAGTGGCTTCCTAATATCGGAAGGAAGAGCGTTCCAGACGGCCGCAGAAGCGCATCTGAAAGCGCGCGATGATGCGCTGAGCACAGTCTTTGTTCCATGGCTAGCAAGAAGCCGCAAGATGCAAACAGTCGGTGAATGCCGCTGAAATAGAGGTGGTAGGTCAGTTTTTCGAATGTGAAAATGTGTCCGTGTTGCGTGTGAAGGCACAGCTTGTCAGCTTTGCACAACGGTAACTTCTTCTGGGTTGATGTGAGGTTTTTTTTCGTGCAGAAGCTCATTTTAACCGTACAATAAAAAATTTATGAACTGAAAAAAAATCTAAACAGTAGCGTTTATAACATTTTAAGTCCGAAACGTTGGCGGCCAAAATCAATCTTACTACACACCCCACATTAAAATGTATTACATTTTTTTTTAAATAGATGGAGGTTTTGGTTAATTTCAAAGAGAAGGAACAACTCCCACCGACATAGTACGGTGTTCATGTTTAAAAATCCTGGAGTTAAGTTTATAAAACAATTGTATTGCTAATTAAGCCAATCAACGGACTAATTAAAAAAAATCCAAGGGGGCTATTCTGTAAGGCATTGTCTTTTGCAGGTAAAACTAAACTTTTTTTTAAAAATAGTATTTCCCAATGATTTAATCATTCATTTCTGCAAAGCTGAGTGGAGTACAATATTGCCCACGTGATATGCATTCATTGGTTATATAGAACCTTGCCGAACAACTGCTAGAGCTGCGTAGTTGAATAGGGTGCAAAGATGTCCACTGATTCGCACAATAAGAGAGTCTTGGCTTAATTACCAATATGAAAATGCTTCAGCATTTTGGCTTTTTTAATTATTAAATATGGATATTTTTTTTCCTTTCGTATGAGCGCCCAAGTGCCTTTTTGTGCAACAAATTTCAATCTTTTGTTTTTCGCACACACGACCTGCCTATGGACCCAACATGCATACATACCATACGTATATATATCTGTAACGCACTGTTAATCACTGCTGTCAATCTGTCGCTACTAATTATAACAGTCGTGCCTGTTTATACAAACCAAACATCTTATACTGTATTGTGTATTTAGAGTGATTTTTAAAACCCCTGCACAAACCTTTTTTGTTAGTTTGTTTTTTGTTTTGTTAAAAGCTTTACATAGGGCAAACATTCAACACGTTTGGTAGAGAGAAGAACAGGCAATCGCCCACTACTGAAGACATTAAATGTACCGGCACGTGGACCCCCCCAAGCGCTGAATAAATTTGGCGAGTACTTTGGAGAATATTAACTGTCTACAACACATTAACATTTGATCACTTAGAATGTGATTCAGCCATAATAATACGTGTTTATCTTTAACATAAAAAAACATCAGGGCTTGTGTTTTTCCAATAATGCCGTTAGGTTGTATAAAAGGGGGAGAGGATTGCGGTATTAGCGCTTCAAGTGCTTCGGGGATTTGTGTGTTTATGCAAAAGACTACAACGGGAATGCTAAACCAGCAAACAAAAGTATCTTTAACAAATATTAATTGAAATATATTTAATTTCATTTTCTTTTTACCCCTCCCCCAGGCTTGCATATGCAATATATATTTTGAGTCCTTGATATTTATTACATAAGCAAAATGAAATAATTAAATTGTTCAATGATATACGTATAATTTTTCATAACAATAGTGAAACCATTATAGAATTAGCTCAATAATCTTTGGCTCCAGTGTATTCACGCGTGTCTGGGAAACCAGCTGCCTGAAAGAAAATTTCCGCATTTTAACAAAGTGCGAAAATTGCTAAAATTTTAACAACAAAAAACTTATTTTGGGGGGTATTTTTTACGTAAAAACCATGCCCTGACCAGCTGTATGCAAACATGACCTTGTTTTGCTGTAAACAAATTTGTCAAGGAATAAAGGACCCTACACAGGACTTGAAGCATCACTGCATCAATGTATGTAATTGGTCATCAGCGGGAACAGAGCCATGCTCTATCCACTGCTGGGTGTAGGCATCGCCCAACAATCCACACTCTTTGGTTGTTTCGGTAAAGTCACGTAGGTATAAAAACTAAATAAATTAAATCACGACCTTAATTTGGAGCTTTCGTGACTGCAGGAATTACTCTTTGGTTCTTTCGGTAAAGTCACGTATAAAGATCAAATTTAAGCTATTATTTAATTTATTATTTTATCTTTATACGTGACTTTACCGAAAGAACCAAAGAATAAAATACGACGTTTCGGGCGCAACACAAGCGTCCGTCATCAGGTCAGAAAGCATGGCCTGCTGCTTTATTTTGTTTTTCTACCTACGTGACTTTACCGAAAGAACCAAAGAGTATGGATTCCTGCAGTCACGAAAGCTTAAAATCAAGATTGCAACAAACCACCTCGGCTCCTCGCGCGAGCTCATCGCAGGCGTTCCATCTCCGCGCTGGACGTGTCTCGAGTACTCAACAGGTCGGCAGCCGACAGCACGGACGGCTGGAGGAAGGAGGCTTGAGATCGTCTAGGAGTAGCGCAGGAGAATTAATTGACCTAGTAATAGGTTTTTACCCTTTCAACTGGTACAAAAACTGACACCTTTATACAAGGCATCATGTTTGCAATAACCACAACACAAGCAGTCAAAATGCACTGATAGTGCGCTGTCTTTGAGTTGTACGCCTTATGGCGTCATCTGGTCCAACACCAATGGAGACTAGGCTCTAAGAAAAGCTGTCTCGGGTGTGGACCAATCAACTTCAAGGACAGTGCATATTGTCATCATCAGAGTTGTTTCTTTTTGTTTGCATTTTGACTGCTTGTGTTGTGGTTATTGCAAACATGATGCCTTGTATAAAGATGTCAGTTTTTGTACCAGTTGAAAGGGTAAAAACCTATTACTATATTTTGCCACTGGTAAAGGAGGTCTCATAGTGTGAATTAATTGACCTGCCATCTGAGTGAAGGTTGACTGGGGAGTTTCAACAGGAAAGCTTGGTTGCTTGAGAGTGGGGCGAGTGAAATGAGCGGGGAAGAGGTAGGAGAGCGCGTGGAGGAGAGCGAGAAGAGGGGAGTCGGAGGAGAGCGCGTGGATGGGAGGAGAGTGAGGATACAGGGGAGAGGTAGGAGAGTGAGTGGAGGAGACGAGCTTGAGATGATCGAGGAGAGGTAGACGCGGGCGAGTCGGTAAATCATCTTGAAGATGGTGAGCGCAATGAATCTTGAAGATCATTCGGCACTGGAATGCGTGCCAGTGAAGGGATCGAAGCCGTGGGGGCGATGTGGCCTTAATAATTACGTGTGAACGTTTGGGTTGGCAGCATTTTTGCAATGCCCTCGTCAGTTTAAACACCACTGCCCTTGCACCGGCTGCGGTCAAATTCGCTACGCCCCAGCCCACGCGGCCCCGACTTGCTCCTCCCAAGCCGAAAGCCGACGAACATCGCCTGACATTGGCGTTACTCGCCGGAGAAAAGTGGGCGGAGAAGGAATAATCGGGCCATGAGCTGCGAACCCTACAGATCGGCCCGTGCGTCACTGCGAACAAAAGCCGTGCTGCAAACAGTGTGCATTCACATGGCCTTCGATGACTGGGGCTTTTAAGAGACAAGGTTTAACAAAAAACGCCATTTATTAAAAGGATTGCCTTTATGCTTGCCTTGAGTGTATTGTTTGTAGAATATGCGATTTCTCTCAAGGACTCGCGGACTGACATTCGCGTGTAGTTGCGTAAATGGCAGCTATTTTTAAATACAGCCGTAAACATCTCGAACGATTTGGCGTGGTGACTCAGACCCGTGTATTTAATTTTTTGTTATTATTCCCAATAATCTTTTATTTTAAAGGCCATCATAATTTACAATGGTTGCACTAAGCCCATTGAATATTACTGGTGATAATAACCATCATCATTATAACAGTAATATGTATGCACAGACAAATAAGACGCATTGCCATCGGTGTACCACGGAGGTTTAGAAAAATAGGAATCCTCTAAGGCAGTGGTTCTTAACCTGTACAGCAGCCTTGCAATCCTCCCTTGCTTCTCAATCGCAATTTTTTAAACATTGTTAATAAATACATAGGTTTGATGATACAAAGTAGTTGCATATTCTTGATTCTTTCGGTAAAGTCACGTAGAAGGGAAATAATAAATTAATCAAAATAAAACAATAAGAATTTCATTGCTTTATTTTATAAATAAATCAAACAATAAGAATGTCATTGTTTTATTTTATAAATAAATATAACAATAACAAATTAATTGTTTTATTTTTATGATTTTAATTTTTTCCCTTCTACGTGACTTTACCGAAAGAACCAAGAATATGAATCCCTGCAGTCACGAAAGCTTTAAATCGAAAAGTAGTAGTACTTACATACCCGTGTTGCATTTGTGTTTTCGATTAATTAAATTCTTACAAAAACCTGGCCACGTCTCGCACAACCCTAGAAAGGGCATCTCGCACACGGGGATTATCACGCGGCGTGGAAGCGATTGGGGCCAATGAGAACGGCCCATGAAGAGCGGCTTGAACAACAGAAAGTCAACGGTCACATTCGCCTCTCGACAAAAAATCACCTTTTATCCACGTGCTGTTTTGAACGTTGTCGCGGTGTAGCGATGGGCGGGCGCTCTGGACTTGCAATCAATCTAGCGCTCGCCGGTTCGACTCCATGTCCCGGCTCGGAAGTTGAAACAATGGTGGGGGGGGGGGAGTTTCTTAAATCTCGCCTCTGTCCACCTGGCAGTCGAAATGGGTACCGCTACAGTTGCTCGATGGGAGGGTGACGTGCGGTAAAGCGTGAGCGCATCCTACTTCTTCCAAGACAATCTCGCCAGCGTGGAAGAGTAGGCCAAGCGCCCTCGAGAGCCACCCTCTCGTCGAAGCACTTCCGGCAGGACTGCGCTTTTATGCAATGGCGGAGCCAGGATTTTCAGGTCGTGGGGAGCAACCCCTCCAGCCATGGAAATGATAGGAGTTGTTGGTTAGTAAGGACTTGTCCCTTAAATTTCGATTTAAAGCTTTCGTGACTGCAGGGATTCATCTTCTTGGTTCTTTCGGTAAAGTCACGTAGAAGGGAAATAATAAAATAATAAAAAATAAAACATAATAAAATAATTCTCACGACGTTTCGGCCACAACGCAAGCAGCCGTTCTCAGGTGAAGACCATGTCTGTCGGGGAGACATTGATTCAGACGCTGTCTCCCCGACAGACCTGGTCTTCACCTGAGGACGGCTGCTTGCGTTGTGGCCGAAACGTCGTGAGAATCATTTTATTATGTTTTATTTTTATTATTTTATTATTTCCCTTCTACGTGACTTTACCGAAAGAACCAAGAAGACTTGTGCCTTGCTTTTTATTCGGCGCAGCCATCGATCGAGGGTCGAATTCGAACCGCGTTGTGTGATCGGCATCGCGCTCGCTGAAGGGAAGTCGTGTGCTGTATACGCAACTGCGCACAATTCTGAGTCAGTTATAACTGCTTTGCCGTTACTTATTGCCAATTATGGACTATTGTCCTATCATCACATAGAGTCCCTGGCACGTAATAATATGCTACACAGTGGCAGTGGGGGTCGCAAAATGCCGATTTATTACTAATAAACCCCAATGATCCGATCGAAATTAGGGATTTCGATCGGATCATTGGGGGGGCAAGTGCCACCCAACCCCCCCCCCCCCCACTGGCTCCGCCAGTGCCTTTATCTGCACCTTTACTGAAACTTTGCCAATGCTCGATCAGCCAAAACACAATGGGGGTGGGTGGGGGGGCGTCCGGGAAGGATTTACCAAAACACGATGTCTTTTTGTAATTTTTTCAAGATGCATTTTGACGTCATAACTGTCCACGTGGCATCGGGCAACGAAGGGTCTCTTACCGTTTCGCCAACCGAGGGAGTGAGCTGCGGTCCACAACAGATTTCAACCAGGGTAGAGGCTCAAAAACAAATCTGCGTGAGCCTGACGCAACCACGTTTATAGGCGTTTATCCACGCTCATCACCGCGATCTTGCACGGATGTTGGCAACAACAAACCACGTGTTTTTGTCATGCACCCCGCCCCCCCCTCCATGCAGTGAAACGCGCCAAGACGTTTTGGAAAGTTACCGCCGAGCGGCACGCAGCCATCCTTTGCTCACATGACGCTCGCTCGCTCGTGCGCGCGCACGACGGCACAGTCAAGCGACGCAAAGGCGGATGAACAAGTAGTGCATTGTACCGCGGGCCCCATTGCAACCCGCAAGCAGAGATTCATCTCTCATGGAATATTTTCCAGGGCTGCCCAACCCACTCCACCAACCAAAACCCACCCACCCACCCACACCCCTGATCCCTCCCTCCCCCGTGGGGTGAATGGATGCGACGTTCATCGTATGAGCGCATTCCATCGTAAAAAAAAAGTTCGGAGATTTTTAATTGCCGGCGCACGCGTCGTTACGCGTTTGCTATGCGCGCGTCGATCGGCACCCGTGGGCGAATCGTTGGCGATGAGAAGTTCCATCTGAGGGAGTTCGCCTGCTGTGACGCTATATCATTGTTGAGAACGCAATTCCTCCTTAAAAAAACACAAAGAATGAAGCCCGGCTCAGGACGCCACGCGTCGGGGAACGGGAACGTTGACAACAATAACAGCAAACGAACAAAACGTGAAGAAAGAGCCGAGAGCGCGCAAAGGAATGGCAGTGAAGAGACGGAGAGAGGGAAAACGCAGTTCAGAAAACGTACAAGAGATTTAACATTGACTGTGAAGGAAAGCAGAGTGCGCTTTGGCAGCACACGTCGCACGAAAGAGACGCTAGCCGATAGTGGGGAGTCATGTGGGGTGCCGCGGTGGCGAGATGTTAACGACCTCGCCTGGTATACAGGGGGTCAGTCGTGGGTTCGAACCCGACCCTGACACCTGTATATTTGGAATTCGCATGTTTTCTCTCCGTGGT